CCGGCCCGTGTGGCTCGGTGGGTAGAGCCTCGGCCTGCAGCCCAACAGGCCCAGGTTCGATTCCATCAAGGACACGAGCCTCAGCTGCAGGCTCCTCCCCGGCCTGGGCCCGGGTCAGCCGTGTGCAGGAGGCAGCCCATCGATGTGACTCTCCACAATGGATAAACATCCTATTTTTACTCCTTAAAATCAATGGGTAAACATCCTCGGATGAGGACTAAAAATGTGCGTGTGCATGTGCGTGTGCGTGTGTGTGTGTGTGTGTGTGTGTGTGTGACAGAGAGACAGAGACAGAGAGAGAGGGAGACCAGGCTCTGCTTCCGCTCCAGACCCTCCAGCTCGGAACTCGGCCGCCGCCGGCAGAAGGTGCTGGGCTCCAGGTGCTGCTCCTTGCTCGGTGCTGCCGGCACCTGCCCGGCCGGGGGGAAGGGAACTGGGCGCAGCTGCAGGACACACTGGGTGGATGGCCGTGTCCTTGGTGCGGGCGGCGGCGGTGGCAGCGCAGAGGGGCCCTGTGTGTCCTCCAGGGACACTGCGGACTGGGTGCCTCTCCGTCCCCCAACAGCACAGCCCCCTCCGTCCAGACGCGGCCCCACAGTGAGAGGACTGGGCTCAGCAGAGGCCGCACCAGCTCCTGTCAGCTTTCCGGCCGTCCCATCGCGCACACGACTCAGGGACAGGCCCCTGCTGAGTCCAGGCAACCGGGTGGCTCTCCCACCCTCACGGTCTCCCCGAAACCCACCCTCTCAGTGTCCCCGGAAACCTACCCCCACGGTCTCCCCGGAAACCCACCCTCTCGGTCCCCCCGGAAACCTACCCCCACAGTCTCCCCGGAAACCCACCCTCTCGGTCTCCCCGGAAACCCACCCTCTCGGTCTCCCCGGAAACCTACCCCCACAGTCTCCCCGGAAACCCACCCTCTCGGTCCCCCCGGAAACCTATCCCCACGGTCTCCCCGGAAACCTACCCCCACGGTCTCCCCGGAAACCTACCCCCACGGTGTCCCCGGAAACCTACCCCCACGGTCTCCCCGGAAACCCACCCTCTCGGTCTCCCCAGAAACCCACCCTCTCGGTCCCCCCGGAAACCTACCCCCACGGTCTCCCCGGAAACCTACCCCCACGGTCTCCCCGGAAACCTACCCCCACGGTGTCCCCGGAAACCTACCCCCACGGTCTCCCCGGAAACCCACCCTCTCGGTCTCCCCGGAAACCCACCCTCTCGGTCCCCCCGGATACCCACCCTCTCGGTCCCCCCGGAAACCTACCCCACGATCTCCCCGAAACCCACGGCTCCTCCTCAAACCACCATCTCGCACTCGGTTCCCGGATTCCGAGGGGACGAGCCGCCTCAGAAGCTGCGGGAAGGCTGAGCCCTGGGCGTCCTCTGACTCAGGGAGCGGAGGGGGCAGGAGACTCGCCACGTCTACGGAGACCAGTCACCGCAGGCTAGGTCACCTGGCCGGCTGGGCGTGGGGGACAGTGTCAGCCCGAGGGCTGAGGGTCCCGGGTCCGATTCTGGCCGAGGCACATGCCAGTGGCTTGGCCCCCGGTCGTGGCTGTGGGCGCACGCGGGAGACAACCCATTGATGCAGATGTTCCTCTCCATCTCCCCCTCCCTCCCACTCGCTCTCTGACTCGGAGTGACAGCAGCAGTTTGACATTAACTGGAGACGGTTTAACATGGACTGGACACTCAGTGTCTGAGGGAGCTGGAGGCCCGTGCATGAAGTCCGTGCACAGGTGGGGCCCATCAGGTTCCCGCCTCCCGCCTCCCCCTTCCCTCACAGCCCGCCTGCACCACGCAGTTATCCCCCCACACTTCCCCGCACCTCCCTGCCACCCATGTCCCACACTGCCCCCTGGTGGTCAGCGCACGTCATAGCAATGGAATTCCCAGTCTTCAGGTTGAACTCCCAGGGGGACACTGCATATTAGACTTTTATATAGAGAGATCAATTAATCTCAGCTTTCCCAGGTGTCAGGATTGTATTGTGGTGGCGTGAGAGAATGTCAGTGTCAGAAAATCATGCTGGAGCACCTAGGGGTGAGGGTAGTGTCCCCAATGGCTCAGCAGAAACCTGTGTGTGTTCGTGTGGGTGACCATATACACACAGAGTTAAAGATAAAACAGGGGAAATGTTGAATCCAGATGGTGACTCTGAAGGCGTTTCTCATTATTTTTCATCTCCTTACTCAGACCGCCCCCCCACACTCCGGCTGGGCTGAGACCGACGGCTGAACTGGCACCTGCTTGTCAACATTCGTTCCTTCCCCACGTCTAACCAGCAGCACAGACTCCTCGCGTTCTCCTCCGCCCTTCACTGGCCTCGCCCTTCTCACCTTCCCTCTTCCTCCCCCTCTCCCCTCCCTTCTCCCTCCCTGCCCCTCCTCCTTTCCTTTGCTGCTTTCTCTCAGTCCCTCAGGTTAGCTGGCACTTCTCAGACTGCCCACACCTGCCTTTCCGGGAAAAGTTCCTTCGGAGGCAAAGCTGAGCTGAAAGCCAGGCCTAGAGCCCACACGGCCCTCGACCCTCCCCGCCCAGCAGGAGGCCCGGGCTCACTGGCTTCCCGGATGGCCTCACGCCGGGCTCCTCGGCTCGAACCGGAAAGAGCGTGGCCGTGAGACAGCACAGGGACGGTCAGCCGCGCCAATACAACCAGGAGACAGCGGACACGGCGTGAGAAACTAAGCCACAGCATGTTTATTGAAATGGAGGATGTAACAATATACCTCTATATGAAATATCGAGTACAAAACAGTATGTACAGCTTATACCACTTTATGGGAAGAAAAATAGCCTATGTACAAAATCACGCAGAGGGAAAATAGAATGCGAGGAGGGGCTAGATCTGGAGTGGACACAGCTGCACCGAGCGCCCCGGCCTGCCCACCCCGCCTCCGCCGTCTCCGCCACAAGCAGACACACTCCTCCCCACGGGTCCGCGGTCCCGCCCCAAACCAGTCTTCGTCTCCGTGTAAAACGCAGGGGCCGCCGCTCCTGCACTGGCACGCGAGAACCTTCACCTAGCACAACGCGCCAGAATACAGGGGCGCGAGACTGGAGAACACGACTTGGGGAATTTGAAAATCCAATCGCAGCAAATTTTTTTGTTAATCCTCACCAGAGGATATTGTTTTCATTGATTTTCAGAGAGAATGGAAGGAAGGGGAGGAGGGAGAGAGAAACACTGATGTGGGAGACACATCGGTTGGTTGCCTCCTGCACGAGCCCCAATCCTGGGTGGGGACTGAACCTCTAACACAGGTTCATGTCCTGGACTGGGAATCGAGCCCTTGACCCTTCGGTGCGAGAACCACTGAGCTAAACCGGCCTGGACTTGAGATAAAATTTTTAAAAAAATATAAATTCTTATTTATTTCAGAGAGGAAGGGAGAGGAAGCAAGAGAAACATCAATGAAGAGAGGAAATCATTGATTGGCTGCCTCCTGCAAGGTGGACAGAACCCGCAACCCAGGCACGTGCCCTTGACCAGAATCGAACCTGGGGCCTTTCGGTCAGCAGGCCGATGCTCTATCCACTGAGCCACCTGGGCATGGACTTGAGATAAATTTTTAAATAGAGAAAAACAGATGCGATTATTGGAGAGGGGTCCATCCAAACAGAGAACAAAGTAACTCAGGCTCCAGAATCGGAGACGCCGAGATTCTCCTCATTAGGCAGCTGCCTGAGGCAAAGAAATGAGGTGTCTGAGGTAATGTGGCTAATAATTCTGTAGAAAGAAGCAAAAATAAGATTGCTTTTAAAGAAAATTGAGATCCCAGAAATAAATGTTTTCTAAAACACTTACTAAATATTAGATAAATCAGCAAGAAATGAATTCAAATTTGGTGGTACAGAAAAACGAACTCCAATTTGTTTTCTGCAGCACCAAATTCCGACTGCTGTTTTATAGCTCCCACCACAGGCTTGATGTGCCAAAACTGTGCCATTATGTTCATGCTAGTTGGTAGTTTTTAACTTCAGTTTTTTTTAAGTTAATACAGGGCATACTTAGCTTTTCATGGAACTTGATGTGTCCTACCTAAATACATATATGTCACCCTCTGATGACAATTGATAACTGGCAACATTAAAAATGTACAACAAATATAATTTAGATCTTATTTCTCAGAATCCATCCTAGCCGGTATGGCTCAGTGGATAGAGCTTCGGCCTGTGGACTGAAGGGTCATGGGTTCGATTCCGGTTAAGGGCACAGGCCTGGGTTGCGGGCTCGATGCCCAGTGGGGGGCGTGCAGGAGGCAACCGATGAATGACTCATCACTGATGGTTCTCTCTCCATCTCCTTTCCCCACTTGTCAGCCACAGCCTCGCTCCCAGCACAGCCTCGCTCCTCGGGAGGTCACAGGAAAGGTACTTCCTGGTTGGAGACACAGAAAGACACGTCAGGGCGGGAGGGAGCTTCATGCCTCGAGGATTAAATCAAAGGGAAGGGGCTAGAAAGTCACTTTTTGAAACTCAGAGACACCAACTGCAGCAGAAACCGAGGCACAACGCTCATGCCAAAACGTGTGAACGCGTCACACAGCCCGTCGTGGCCAGTGGACACGCCTGCGTCCCCGCCTCGCCTCGCCTCAGGGACGACACACCGAGAACGAAGACCACAGGAAGCCGCTCCCGGGAGCCGCAGAGAGCAGCGGGGCCGTACCGCTCAGCAGAGGCTGTACCGCTCGGTGCTGACGCTCCCCGAGACGCTCCCACCACCAAAGGCACTTGACACAGGCTGGCCCAGACAGTCTGGCGCGGCCCTGCAACTTCCCTCCTCAGCCGGGGGTGTGGGGGTGGAGGGTGGGGTGACGAGGTTCCTGTGCCGTCCTCCGGGGACACAGCAGGGTCCAGTGCTGGCGATGACGTGACACGGGGCGGAGATGCTGGTGTGAGGATGGCTGCGGGCCGGGCCCTCCCCCACAGGGCGTCTGATGAGCGTGGAACTGGCATCTGATGAGGGGTAAGCTGATCTTTACGTCGTGTGGGTGTCAATGTTCACTCCTCCTCTTGTCCTTTCTCACTTTTTTGTTCTTCCCCAAAGCCTTCGACGATTCCTCCTGGAGAAAAGAGAGTTCAATGCAATGTCCCCCATTCATATGGAGACACTGCCGGGAGCCCGAAACCTCACCCTGAGCGTCTGTGTGACAGCGAAGCACGCAACCTCCACACGCACCGTCACCCTGACTGTGCGGCACTTCCGTACGGCTGCGTGCGCATGCACAAAATAATCGAGGAAAACACTCCTTCACCTAATAGATTTATGTTTAAGTAATGTCAGGGTTATTCTATTGTCCACTTTAAAGAAAATGTTTTATTGATTTTAGCGGGAAAGAAAAAGAGAGAGGTAGAAACGTCGATGAGATAAACATCCACATCAATGGGCTGCCCCTGCACACCCACTCCTGGGGATGGAGCTCGCCACCTGGGCACACACCCTGACCAGGAATCGAACCGTGACCTCCTGGTGCGTGGGCCAGCGGCCAGGCTCTGGTGTCGCTCTTTAAAGTAAGGCAGCACAATAGGACTCTCCTAGGGAGGGGCAGACAGGAATCTAAAGCTTGTCTGCGCCTATACCAAAGAGATGTGAGCGCCTGCAACCAATTGTGTGGGATTCAACAAAGCTTGGCTGTGCCACCCCGAGACTCCGCCCATCCAAGTGGAATACAGAAACCCTCCTAGCTGAGACACTTCTGATCCTCATAGCCAATTAGCTTGGAGATCAACGCTGCCCAGTGATACCAACAACAAGCAAGGCTTAAAAACAAGACTGCACACACAGCCCACAAAGGGCTACACCAAGACTGTCCACCTCAGGTAACTGGGAGGCTGACTTACTGAACCATATAGGACACCTTAGCACACAAAGCCATCCTACCAACTCAGGGAAGCTGTGAAAATACTGAGACAAGGAAACAGAGCACAAAGAAAAGAAATGGAGAAAAAGAAGAGACTGGATATAGAGTTCAAAACCACGCTTATAAGGTTTTTCAAGAATTTCCTAGAAAAGGTCGACAAGACCCATGAGGAGATGAAAAGGGATCAACAAGAACTAATAAGGGATCAGCAAGAAATAATAAGGGATCAACAAGAAATAATAAGGGATCAACAAGAAATAAAGAATACATTGTCTGAAATAAAAAATATTATATTGAGTCCTAAAAACAGAATGGAAGATCGCAAGAATCAAGTCAAAGATTTGGAACATAAAGAGCCAGAAGACACTCCTCCGCAAAAGCTAGAAGGCAAGAGAATCCAGAAAATTGAAGATAATGTAAGAAACCTCTGAGACAACTTCAAACGAACCAACATCAGAATTATGGGGATCCCAGAAGATGAGAGAGAGCAAGATATCGAAAACATACTGAAAGAAATAGTGACAGAAAACTTCCCCCACCTGGTGAAGGAATTAGACTTACAAGTCCAGGAAGCGCACAGAACTCCAAACAAAAGGAATCCAAAGAGGACCACACCAAGACAAATCATAATTAAAATCCCAAGAGCAAAAGACAAAGAGAGAATATTACAATCAGCAAGAGCAAAGCAGGTAGTTACCTATAAAGGAGCACCTATACGATTGTCAGCTGATTTCTCAACAGAAACCATGCAGGCCAGACGGGAATGGCAAGAAATATTCAAGGTGATGAATAGCAAGAACCTACAGCCAAAAATAATCTACCCAGCAAAGCTATCACTCAGAATCGAGGACCAGATAAAGAGCTTCACTAAAAAAAAAGCTAAAGGAGTTCATCACCACCAAACCAGAATTATATGAATTGCTGAAGGGGTTCTTTCAGAAGAGAAAGTAAATAAAGATAAAAACTATGAACAACAAATACATTAACTATCAACAAGTGAATCTAAAAACCAAGGGAATTAAAAAAAAAAAATCTGATGAACAATATTAACTGTTGAATATAATAGAATCAGAGGTATGGAAGGGGAGTGAACTGACGATTCTCGGGGGAAAAAGGGAAGAGAGGGGTGTGGCAAGAGACTGAACATAAACTGGGCACCTATGGATGAGGACAATGGGAGGTGGGGAAAAGACAGAGGGTGGGGTGGGAACCTGGTGGAGGAGAGCAATGCGGGGGGGAAATGAGGAACATTTGTAATAATATGAACAATAAAGATTTACTTATTAATAAAAAATAAATAAAAATTAATAAAAATATTTTTAAAACACACAAATAAATAAATAAAGGCAGCAGATATAAGTACAACCAATGGACATAAAACTCTGGGGAGGGAGGGTATGTATGGGAGGGAGGCAAAAAAAAAAAATATTAAAAAAAATAAAATATTCTTAAAAAAATAAATAAATAAAGTAAGGCAGCAGAATTTAAAAACAACAGAAGCGACCGAGACCAGTTTGGCTTAATGGATAGAGCGTCGGCTTGGGACTGAAGGGTCCTGGGTTCGATTCCGGTCAAGGGCATGTACCTTGGTTGCGGGCATATCCCCAGTAGGGGATGTGCAAGAGGCAGCTGATCGATGACTCTCTCTCATCGATGTTTCTAACGCTCTATCTCTCCCCTTTCCTCTCTGTACAAAATCAATAAAATATCTTAAAAAAAAAAAAAATAAATGTAAAAAAAAAAAAAAAAAAACAGAAGCGGACGTAGTTATAAAACATGAAACAAAAACCCGCCTACATGAAGGGAGGAGGCATGAAGGCCTGCCCGGCAAGGACAGGGAATGGGGATCTCGTAGCCGCTTAGGGAAGGCCAGGTCACTGACCTGCTCGGCCTCAGCCTTGGGGAATGAGGCCACTGGCCTCAGGGCTCCGTACACCCAGGAGCGCCTGACCTGAGGGTCCCAGAGGCCAGTCACCGCCCAGGCCCTGCACTGCAGCCACAGGGTCTGCCTGGCACCCGTCCCTGGCTCCCAGGCCGAGGTTTACACACACACACACACACACACACAAGGACTCCACCCGCTTGGAGCATGCTCTCTGGTTTGTGAGCCCCGGCGGAGGGCAGAGGGCAGAGGGCGGAGGGCGGTGCCGCCCCAGCTCACCGGCGAGCCCGTGTAGCTCCTCTCCACCAGGAGGCTCCGGGCGCAGTTGTTGATGTGCTTGAAGCGGTCGGGCCCCAGCAGGATGCCACCGTACCAGCGCGACACCACCACCAGCACGTTCCGCACGTTCAGGATCTGTCTCAGACGGGACGGAGAAGGTGGGTGTGAGCACTATGCAGTGGCACTGCAGGAACGCCCCCACTTCCTGGAGAAAGCACGGGGGAGAGAGGGGCACCGGGCACAGATGAGAGGGCGTTTGGAAAAGGGGCCCGTGCTCCATGCGGCTGAGGGGAGACTGGTGGGCGGGTCCCCATTCTGGCGACTTCAGCCCGAACTGCTGTGCGGGCAAGGCTTACGCCCGGGCAGACCCGGCCCAGACCTGCTGCCACAGCCCAGAGGGCACGGCTGCCAGAGGCCACGCTGGTGCTGACGCTGCCACGTCCCCCTCGGCTGACGTGTGTCCAACCTGCCCGACGTGAGGCCCGCTGCCCACAGGCCTGACCACACCGCCCCCCCCCAGGTCTGAGTGAAGTGCACACACAGGAGCGGAGACCCGGCAGCAGCCGCCTCAAGAGAACCACCCCCTCAGGACAAGGGCTGTCCGTGACCACTCGGCCACACGGACGAGGGAAGGCAAGATAGACAACTAACATGGACTGGAAACCATCTGAGAGGCCATCTCAAAGAAAAACAAGTATTAATTCACACTCGGAAATGTTAGGAGATCCTGCATCCATAAAACCAGAACAGCACACTACAAAAAAGGAAATACAGAGGAAAATTGTTATCCTTCTATATAATAGAAGAATAATATGTAAATAGACTGAACGGCAGAACAACGAACAACCAATCAAAGCGTAATATGCTAATGTTATGCTAAGGTTGCTTAACCACTCACTATGATGTGCACTGACCACCAGGGGGCAGATGCTCCAACCTGTAGGTCAGCTTGCTGCTGGGGTCCAACCTATCTGGACTGAGCAAGATGGGCCGAACACACCCTGGAGCCCTCCTTCGGTTCCTCCCCAGACTGATGGTGCACCAGTGGTCCCTCAGCCTGGCCTGTATCCTCTTGCAGTCCAGGACCCCTTGAGGGATGTTGGAGAGCCAGCCGATCCCACAGGCCACGCCCCTTGGGAAGGTGCCAGAAACTGCTCATCACGATGAGCGAGCCTCTCCCAAGCAGGACGATTGGGTCAAGCCCGGGGCATGCACAGTGGAGCCGGGATGAGTGGGAGCAGCCGGTAAGAGCTGCAGGCGGTGTTGGGCTGCACGTTTCGGCCTGATCCCTGCAGGCCACCCAGAGGGACCCCACCTGTGCACGAATTCGTGCACCGGGCCTCTAGTCTATAGTAATAATAAAGGAATATGCAAATGGTCCAGGACACAGTAACAGTAATGACCGAACAGCAAGTTGCGTGGGGCAACTAGGCTGGCGAGGGAGGGCGGCGGCAGTTGGGGGCAACCAGGCTGGCAGGAGGGGCAGTTAAGGGCAATCCAGCCAGCAGGCAAAGGCAGTTAGAGCTGATCAGGCTGGCGCGGGGGGGGGGGGGGGGGGGGGGGGGGTTAGGGGCAATCAGGTCTACAGGCAGAGGTGGTTAGGGGTGATCAGGCTGGCGGGGGGAGAGGGGGGAAATTAGGGGCGATCAGGCAGGCAGGTGAGCAGTTAGAAGCCAGTGGTCCCAGATTGTGAGAGGAATGTCCAATTGCCAGGATTAGGCCTAAATCAGGAGTTGGAAATCCCCCGAGGGGGTCCCGGATTGTAGAGGGTACAGACTGGGCTGAGGGAATCCCTCACCCTGTGCACTAATTTTGTGCACCAGGCCTCTAGTAACTATATAACAATTAAATGCATGGTTGCTAAAAAAAAAAAATTTTAGGAGACCACCAAGAAAATGTCTCGGCACATGAGGCAAGGAGATGGACAATTTCATAAGGAAAGAAAATCCCAGATCCGTTCAGAAGCTCTGATACCCAACTAACAGGAATGTGACAGACAGAACTCGGAAATAGAGGGGGATTGTCAGAAAACAGAACCAGCAGGTCCCACAGCTGCAGACAGCCTCCCGGGCCACGAGGAAAGAGCTGGGAGACGAGACCTGTTCTGGCCTCTGCTTCCTGCCTCACCAGGCGGCTTTTCCTCGTCACTGTGTAAAGACCTAAGGAGCCCACACCATCTGCACCAGAGCTGACGAGGGCTTGTTCCCAACAGGAGGGAGCTCCGTGCTGCTGGAACTCAGGCCCGGGACCGGACACGGGATCGACGGACCCACCTCCATGAGGTGCAGCAGGCGCCCGCCAGCCGCCGTCTCCCCGTCGTCACTGTAGTCCTGCAGGAAGGTCTGCTTGTCCTCACAGAATATTCTAGAAACACACACAACACGTTCACACCTCGAACCCTCAAAACGCTTCGTACGAGTTGCAATTTACTTCCAAAATCAGCACATTGTTTTTTAAAATCCTTCTCCAACTACACTAGTACGTGTTCACGATCATTTACCATCTGTCTTGTTCACGGCTCTTCTTTATAATAATGAAACAGGAAAACCAAAACCAGCAGGAAATGGTTAAGTAAACTGTAGTTTGGGACCACAGACAACTACCAGTCAAACATTAAAATAATGTTCACAAAGCAATTATAACAAAATGGAAATTTTTATTTGTAAATAAGAAAAAAATAGGGTACTAGGGCAAAGCATTGAAAAGATAAACTTTGCACAAAAAAACGTATCAAGTATTATTGGTTGCACTTAATGGTAGAAAAGGGCTGATTTCCCCTCTGATTTTTTCTCTTTTCTGCAGTGTCTGAACATTCTACAAACGATTGCTTTGTAATGGGAAGACGTACAGCAGTTATCACTGCTACAGCCACGCCCAGCCTCTCCCATCCTATGAACTGCATGCTCCCAGAGCTGTGCTCTTACTTACCGGTACGCGTAGATGTTGTGGGTGGCGCTGGCGATTTTCTTGTTCTCATACAATTTGGCAAGAACCATTTTCACCTTAAAAACAGCAGTGACGTAAATAAGTAATGTGCGCGTTTCACGTTCTCTATGAACAAACCCCAGAAGACATCAGAGCGTGCAGATATAGTGCTGCAGCAGCGCTGGAGGTTCCGTCAAGAACCTTCTACTCGCTGAGGAAGCCCTGCCACAGGTCCTCCCCACGCGGGGCAGAGACAGGTGCTCGTGCCGGGACGGAAGGACAGGCCGGTTTCTGAACACCAACAACCAAAAACACCTGAGCACTAGCCATGCCTCGGTACTCAAACAGGAACGTTCCCCGGGTAGAGAATGCTACATGTAAACACGAGAATTTCAAAAAAGGAGCTCTAAAATTTACCAAAGGTATGCGTCTAGCGTGACGGATGCACAGTGGTGTCCCACACCTTACACACCACAGCGCTCTCTGGTTCCTGCAAGGCCACGGGGGAGTAACGTGGGCCGAGACGTGAGAGACGTGGTCATTTCTAGGTCCAAAGGGAAGAGGGGCAGGAAAGAGCCATCCACTTGGGGGAAACGCATGTGCAGAGGGGTCAGGTTGGCAAATAAAAATAAAGACACTTAGTTCAACTGCAACTTCAGGTCAATCACAAATCATCTGCTATTGTAAGGAGGTCCCTTGTACTAATGTTTATCTGAAACTCTAATTTAACTCTAAGACGCATCCTGCGTATTACCCAGCAGAGCACTGAGAGAAAGGCTCGGCCCTGGCTGGCGCAGCCCTGCTGGCTGGAGTGCTGTCCACAGGGGCCCGGACTGGACCTAAACCCACAACCTCCAGTGCCGGCTCCCACCAGCGGGGCCTGGGCCGGGCTCACGTCTTCTTAGTCACTCTGAAACGCGGCGACTCCCGCAGCTCCAGCGAGGGCACTCGTGTGAAAACCCACGACGAGGTCCCCCAACCAGAGCTCAGGTAAAACTTAAAACTTAAGAGCAGCGTCCGGCAGAGGAGGCCCCGCCCCCGCCCCCGGATTCGCACACGGAGGCAAGAAAGTGAGCAAATCAGCATCTTCCCTGGAAGTAACAACAGGAAAAGCAAAGCTGTTCCTGCAAAGCCTCGCGCTGGCTCCTCCGGCTACAAGCGCCCGCCCTGCGGCTGGGGCAGCTCACCTGCTCGGGGCAGACGACCGGAGCCAGGTGGGCCTGGAAGGTGCTCCGCCGGTCGGTGATGGGCACGCCGTGGTCGATCGGGGGCAGCTCCTCCGTCTCTGAGTGAAAGAAGGAGACGGCTTTACTTTAAAATTCATCCATTCAAAACCTAGAACGGCTGGCACGTGTGGGTGAAGGGGAAAGCTGGGAGGAAATGCACATTATATGGCAAATCAACCTGAACAGCAATTCACAGCTGCCCATTAAAACTCAGTGACAGTTTTAAGTAAAAAGGCTCCCGACACATGGCACATAAACTGTCTGATGACCTTTGCCTGCCAGGAACCGAACCAGAGGTTACAGTGACAGTGGCGGCTGGGGCTCCTGTGGCGGCAGCATGAGTTGACACGACTAATTTTTAAGAGTTTAAAGGGGGTCTTGAGACCAAAAACGCTGACAGCTACTAATATCCATAACCTATTCATCTGTTGTATTGTGGTGGACCGAGGACATTGGTTGGGAAACCTAGGACATTGCTTTATAGCTATAACGTAATGTCCTCTGCTAATAAAAGTGTTCCTACTTCATAGGGTTCAATTAAATCTATATATAAAAGCCTAATACGTTAAGTGTCCAACCAAGTGGTTGACAACTGGTTGCTATGACGTTCACTGACCATCAGAGGCAGATGCTCCGACCTGTAGGTTAGCTTGCTGCTGGGGTCTGGCTGACTGGGACTGGGCGAGATGGGGCCAGACACGCCCTGGAACTGACCCTCAGTCCCTCCCACAGTCCCTCCCCGCCATCGACCCCAATGGGCTCCAAGCAAGACTGGGCAAGACAGCCCTGATTGGCCCCTATCGCAGGCCAGGTGAAGAATTCGTGCACCAGGCCTCTAGTATGTCAGTGAGGTGCAAACTGGTGCTCCACAGGGTGTCAGAATTTCCAGTTCTGCCTCGTAAACAAGTGTAAGAGCCACTAACCCACCACATCTGATGTGGATGGGGGAGGGCAGAGAGGGCAAAGGGGGACCATGGTGATGGGAGGAGACTGACGTGAGGTGGAAACCACTCGATACAGCACAGAGATGACCCTTAACCAATGTCACCCCAATAAATTCAATTGGGGGGGGGGAGAGGGAGAGAGGGAGAGAGGGAGAGAGGGAGAGAGGGAGAGAGGGAGAGAGGGAGAGGGAGGGAGAGAGAGAGAGAGAGAGAGAGAGAGAGAGAGGGAGGGAGAGAAACTTACCAACCATCCCGGCTGCTGTACCAGCTACATGAGGATGAAGTTACTCAGGAAAAAAGAATTAAAATGTGTGCCCCCTTTTAGTCACTTAGTTGAAGCTCACCAAGTCAGTTGGCCTTACAGCTGATGAACTACTTCAACTAACGCATGTAAACGGGTTTCTGGGCGGTTCAACAACTCCCCGAAAACCACCGCGCTTGCTTGTGGCAGGACAACACAGAGCCAGGTCCCAGGCTGCTCTGCCTCCCCCAGCGCCCGTCTGTGGAGGCGAGCCGGTCTGTCCTCGCACACACTCGGGTCCCGTGCACTGGCTGCCGTGCTGTGCCTGTGCCTGCCCTCTTCTCACGGGGTCCCACTTCCCAAAGGAATCTGACGCCAAATTCACGACGACATGAAGGAATATGCAGGAGCTTCAGGCCAGAGGGGGTGGTTCCTGAACCCTGCCTACTCTCCCATCCTCTCTGTCCCTCCTACTCGTCCAGTGACACTGGGGAGAACAAGACCCTCCCGGCACGGGTTCAAGACCACGGTGTCAGGCACAGGATGTGCCCAGCCTTCAGAGAACGATGTGCCCTTGGTCTGTCATGTTTCTATAGGGACTTGGACCATTCACTCAGAAACGTAAAATACTAAAGGGCCCGGCCGGAGTGGCCCAGTGGTTGAGTGTTGACCTATGAACCAGGAGGTCACAGTTCATTCCAGGTCAGGGCACAGGCCCGGATTGCAGGCTCCATCCCCAGTGTGGCGCGTGCAAGAGGCAGCCGATCCATGATTATCCTCATCATTGATGTTTCTCTCTCTCTCTCTTTCTCTCTAAAGTCAATGCATATATATATATATATATATATATATATATATATATATATATATATATATTTTATTTTATTTTATTTTTTATTTTTATTTTTTTTACAGAGAGGAAGGGAGAGAGATAGAGAGCTAGAAATATCGATGAGAGAGAAACATCGACCAGCTGCCTCTTGCACACCCCCTACTGGGGATGCGCCCACAACCAAGGTACATGCCCTTGACCGGAATCGAACCTGGGACCTTTCAGTCCGCAGACCGACGCTCTATCCACTGAGCCAAACCGGTTTGGGCAATACAAATATATTTTAAAATACTAAAAGGGAAGATACTTTCTGACATTAACATACAGCTAATTTACTTTCACACTAGATTATCAGACAAATTTGCTTATGCAGAAACTACAATCTTAAAGGCATTCACTGGCCTTAATTCAGTGGCTGCACTTCCAATTAGGACATTTATTCTGAGTTTTACCAAAATTTAACTCGGAGATGTCAGGAGGCGGCTGAGAACTTCAAAACAGAAAAACGTGTGTGAACGGAAACAGGAATTGAAAACATGGCTTTTCTTTGTTCCAATTCTCCCATTGATATACAAAACTCTAGGAAAGAAAAGAATTTCCTACGTTTTCCCTCACCGCTGACACCCAGCCCACACCACGTGACAGCAGGCGGGAAACAAGACGCATTCTCCTGATGTCAGTAACCGTTCCCTAACGTGGGCGCTCATGTTTCTAACCATCCCCAACACGTGCACGTGTCACCACCAGTCCGAGAGCCACAGCATCGGCGACACGTACCTGTCTGACCGGCGCCGACGTCCAAACCCAGCGCTCGCCCTGCCGGCTCGGGCTTGCACGCCACAAGGACTTCAACTTCACTTTCCACGTCTTCCTCCTCCGTCTTCTTCTCCACCTCCCGGCCTGCGGGGAGCAGACATGTGAGTGATGCCCGTGGAGACATGTGATGTCTATGGAGACACGTGAGTGACGCCTGTGGAGACATGTGAGTGACGTCTGTGGAGACATGTGAGTGACGCCCGTGGAGACATGTGATGTCTATGGAGACACGTGAGTGACGCCTGTGGAGACATGTGAGTGACGTCTGTGGAGACATGTGAGTGACGTCTGTGGAGACATGTGAGTGACGCCCGTGGAGACATGTGATGTCTATGGAGACATGTGAGTGACGCCCATGGAGACATGTGAGTGACGTCTGTGGAGACACGTGAGTGACGCCCGTGGAGACATGTGAGTGACGCCTGTGGAGACATGTGAGTGATGTCTGTGGAGACATGTGAGCGATATCCGTGGAGACACGTGAGTGATGTCCGTGGAGACACGTGAGTGACGTCTGTGGAGACATGTGAGTGACGCCTGTGGAACAGGAGACACGTGAGTGACGTCCGTGGAGACATGTGAGCGATATCCACGGAGACATGTGAGTGACGCCTGTGGAACAGGAGACATGTGAGTGACGTCCGTGGAGACATGTGAGTGACGTCCGTGGAGACATATGAGTGACGTCCGTGGAGACATGTGAGTGACGCCCATGGAGACATGTGAGTGACGTCCGTGGAGACATGTGAGTGACGTCCGTGGAGACATGTGAGTGACGTCTGTGGAGACATGTGAGCGATATCCATGGAGACATGTGAGTGACGCCTGTGGAACAGGAGACCTGTGAGTGATCTGCGAACAGTCAGAGATGGCGTTAGAAACTGTCCTCCTGGCTCTGAGCACGCTCTTCAGTAGACACGAGCTGAGACCAGGGCGCACGGGGACGCCTGGGGTTGGAAGGTGCTCTGCGGGCTGCTCCCCCGCACTCGGGCCCACACGCCCACCCCTGGGACTGTCTGAGCAGCAGCAATGGCAGCGGAGAACTTGGCCCGGACACAGCGCACGGGCTCGTGGGGACGAGCCTCTCCTCCTCCCGAGGCCCCGAGAACCATCAGGACAGCCCCCGTGCACATGCACGTCCGTGAGGGGCGTGTGAGGAGGACAGGACATCAGATCCCCACGCGTCCCCCACGGGAACGGGGAAACGGAGGACGGTAAGGCTGACGCTAAGGCTGACGCCCCGGCTCGGGACAGGACAGGAACTGGCTGCTCTGTTCCAGCTGTCTCTGCGGCGGCTGCTTGGAGGAATTCACTCACAGCAGAGCCTCTGGGGAGAGCAGGGCCCACAGTGTGAGCCGCTTCCCGAGAAGGTCTCAGTGGGAAGGGGCTGGCCTGCCCGGCAAAGGGATTCTGGGAGCAGCCCTTCCGACTGGAGCTGCACTTGCCTGACTCCACAGTCTGGGGAGCCAAGACTTAAAATAAACCACTCTCTCCCCCACACCTTTCTCCTTCCCTCTCTCGTTTTTACACAAACACACACATGCACACTCTCACTCACACACCTCCTATCATTCTGTCTTCAGAGAACCTTGACTAAAGCAGGGACTTGGCAGTGCTGACCTCTGGCAAGGGGTCAAGGTCCAGTTCACCAATAATAAGCATGCTGATGTCATGAGCTCTTTGATATGATGTGTGGGAAGGACACGGAATCGCTTCTGTGGTATGACTGCCAGAATGCCTAACCCTACTCAATCAGGGAAAATAACAAACAAACCCAGGTGAGGGACATACTACAGAGCAGTCAATCACTTCTCAAAAGTTTCAAGCCCTAAAGTCACCAAAGTCAAAGGAAGATGGAGGAAGCACAGAGAGACCAGGAGAGTAAGAAGAACCAGGACCAGAGTCCCGTCAGGGTCCTGAGAGCTGGAAGACATTTCCGTAAGAACCAGGAAAGCCGAGTCAGCTCCAGTTGACACCGACAGTGAGCGCCGGGCCTGGCGAGGACGTGGCTGCTCTGAGGTTAGGGGGGAGCAGGGGGTGGGTGATGTGTGCTCTTTGCATCATTTCTGCCATTTCCTGTACGTCTCAAATTGGCGCAAAATTTTAAAAAACTGTTAACAGTCGCATATAATTATTTCAAATTTAATGTTTCTAAAGTAGAGAAAAAACAACATGAAATAGTAAGTGATAAATTCTACTGAAGATGAACACTGAAATCAGATCACACTCCTTGTCGGGGGGCCGGCAGGAAAGCTGCCCAGCTCTCAGGACCTGCCCTTCCACGTGGTCCACAAACTGCTCTGAGCAAACCTCCCACACAGATGCCTAGAAATCACCAAGTGCACAGAACACATCGCAGCTTTAAGCTGGAAGAGTGGCTAAACTAACTGTGAACAGAGGTGGGGAGGGGAATTCTGTGAAGACCAGTAATTATTAAACTGCCCGAGTCGAGTGAGCCCTCCGTTCCCCTGGCAGGCATCCCCACCGCAGGATGGTGCGCTGGCAAAGCCCATCCTGTGTGAGACGACGTTCCCCTCAGAGGCATTTCCCTGAAATGCTGTGCATTCACTGACGGGGCATAAACACTAAGGAAAGCGCTTCACGGACGACTGTCCTGTGGACAGAACACTTCCCACCACTCCTCTCTGATGGTGACGGAAGAGGAAAAGCATTGGCTGCTACAGAAACACAAGCAAACGCCCTGGAAAAGCCTCCTGTTGGCGTTAGACGTACACTGACTTTCCTGAGGAGGCCCAGTAATGCGTTCTCTGTCCATAGACTTGTGTGGGTTTTTAATCCCTATTTCTCCAACCTGAAAACCATTCTGTCCACAATAACAACAAAACTCCATTTGGAGATAAAAGTCGGGTGAGATTGGTACCTTCCTCCGGAGAAGGTCTCTGGAAAGGGAAGCAAAGATGAGCAGAGTAAGCAGGACACGTGAGAACGCCCATGTGGCCATGGACTTAATGGCCCAACAGAAGGTGATAGCGAGAGCAGACAGAAACTCCACGTCCTGCAATCAGACAGTGCTGACAGCTGCACAGCCATGAAATACACTAAAACCATCCTTTAGACAGCTTTGAAGGCGAATTATTATGGCATGTGAATTACAAATGAATTTTAAAATCATTGTTCAAAATCAATTTTTATATTCTTAATATGTTTCAAGGTGTTTTTTCCATAAGCATTCTATAAACATAATGTCTAGCTTATACCATCTAATAATTCATGAAGAATGTTACATGGTACATGTTACCTTAACAATAATCAAAGAAGTGATTTTTTTTGATCCGAGTTATTTAACCATAAAATTATATTTCTATAAGACTATAACATCAAACCAAAGAACCATAACTATATGATTAAATGAACTTTTCAGAAAACTTAACTTTTATTGTATGTAAACCATAGAACAGAACACAGATTTTAATTAAAAACTTCAAACAGAATATCCATGTGAAAAGTAAGACTGAAGGAACAAGGGCACTGATAATGATTCCATCCTACCTGGTTCTGCCATCTGAGACTTTTGTATTAGGACATCTCTTATTTTCTCCACCCAGAGGTAAAGAATACTTTCACCAATATTCTGTCTAAACAAAATTCAGGGGGGAAAATGTTATTTAAAAGTATTTCCTTCTCAAATTCAAAAAACACAGACATCTTTATAACCTAAGAAATTATATGCATCGAGCCATGTCTTTTATTTTATATAACTTATTGATTTTTTACAAAGAGGAAGGGGGAGGGATAGAGAGTTAGAAACATTAATGAGAAAGAAACATCAATCAGCTGCCTACTATACACCCCCTATTGGGGATGTGCCCACAACCAAGGTACATGCCCTTGATTGGAATAGAACCCGGGACCCTTCAGTCCACAGGCTGACACTCTATCCACTGAGCCAAACCAGTTAAGGCGAGCCATGCCTTTTAAAAGGAATTTATAAAGACATGAGATTTAGTAACATTTATGGATGAATATTTAGTTTATACAAACATTTAGTTCCCACTGGCTCCAAAATCAACACTGCTTACTTAAAGCAAGCAGAACGGTGGCACCAGAAAAGATAAAGAAAATTTATGAACTTGTGCTAGGTGAGATATAAATGCGATTTAATTCCTCATTATTAATGTCCAATCACTGCTTGTCTGTCTACATGTACTTTCTGAACATCCTGAAACCACGCCTTGGCACGCTTCTCACTGGGCATGCTGATTTCAAACAAGGATGCAGAGCTTTCGAGAACTCCCAATACACGAAATTCATGCACAGTAGGGTCCCTAGGCCTGGCCAGCCATCAGGGCTGATCGGGCCTTCATTCATTCTGCACCGCCCCCCGGTGGTCAGAATACATCACAGCGAGCCACCGAACTCCTGGTCTCCCAGCCAAACTCCCAAGGGGACACTTTGCATATCAGCCTTTTACAGACACAGATTCTGTTTTTGACAAAATGTCCCGCTGCCCAAGGTGATTCATTTGGTTCCAGACACTGGCTGCCTCAGAGCAGGAAGTCCATCGCCACGGCTCCCTAAGGAGAAGCGTGTCACACGTGTCCACCTGCAGGTCAGCAAATGGCAACAGCAGAGTGAAGGCCCAATGCGTGTGCAAGGCCCACCAGGCCCTCGGGAGGGCTGTCCTGGGCTAACAGTCTCCCGAGGACAATGAAGGCTAGTGCTGCCTTTGTGCCAGCATGCCACCAGGGGGCGGCGTGCTTTAACTGCTTCTGTGCTTTCTCTGGTGACAAGTTTATTCTTATTTGTCTAACTGTCCACGAGGGTTTGGCTCCCAAACTGCTGCCAGGAAGCCTCTGGCGAATGAGAAACAAATGAGAACAAACAAAAGCTGGCTCCATCGGTCCTGCTGGCTCCTCCACCCCGATGGTTCCGAGGGCCAGCTGGTCCTGAAGCTCCTGAGAGCTCGCAGCGAGACGTCCGCTGTTACGAGTTTAGCAGACGGGAAAGGAGCTCAACAGGAAAAGCCTGGGACAGACGCTTTACAACCCAACAGAGAGCAGCTGGGTCAAACCTAACCCGACGACATCAAAACGAGAAGAGCTGTGGGAATTCTAAACAGTCCTCTCACTGGATTTTAAACTAAATACTGCTGAAACAGTAAATCCAAATACTAGCAAAAAAAACAAGTCTTCATTTCCTCTTAACACCAATTGTTCTAAGTATGTTTAATTGATTTTTAAAAAGAAAGGGAGCCGAAACCGGTTTGGCTCAGTGGATAGAGCATCGGCCTTCGGACTGAAAGGTCCTAGGTTTGATTCCGGTCAAGGGCATGTACTTTGGTTGCGGGCACATCCCCAGTAGGGGGTGTGCAGGAGGCAGCTGATTGATGATTCTCTCTCATTGATGTTTCTAACTCTCTCTTCCTCTCTATAAAAAATCAATAAAATTTATTAAAGAGAGAGAGAGAGAGAGAGAGAGAGAGAGAGAGAGAGAGAAAGGGAGAAGGAGAGAGAGAGAAACATCAATGTGAGAATGAAACATCGCTGGGCGGCCTCCTGCCCGCCCCCTGCCAGGGCTCCAGCCAACAAGCCCGGCATGTGCCCCAACCAGGAACCCAACAGCAACCTCTTTGGTGCACAGACAACACCCAGCAGTCCGAGCCACTCCACCAGGGCTGCTCTAAGTATCTTAAATGTCATTTACTTTGGTTTTGTTAGAATAACTGTTTTCATATATTCAAAATATCCACATGCAAAATATTTAAAGAAAAATGTACGCAAGTTAACCAGCACCCAAGCACTCACCAAGCCTTGCTGACGGCCTCCACCACCTCCCGCCCGGTCACCGGCGGCGCCTCCGGGTGCCCTCTTCCCAGCCCTCCACCGTGTGCCCCCTGCGCACCGCGACCCAAGCTCACGCAGCCTCTTCCGCCGTGCCAACACTCCTACAGCCCCCAGCCCAGCTACGGACGCGTCCTCCTCCACCTGCCCACTCACACCTGCTCTGAAGGGCTGCTGGCCTCAGGTGCCGGAGGCTTCACACCTGCACGATGCTGCTGATGCCGGCCCGTCTCTCGGGACGCCCTCTGGTTACCGGGCAAACACTGAGCTCCCGTTGCCACGGACCCTCCTCAGCCTCACCCGTGTGCCGAGAGCGAGCTGCTGCAACCGCTGACACGTGTCACAGCGCCGACCAGACCTCTCCGTGGGTGTCACAACAGCGGGCTGCAGCTCTTCCTTCTCCCGTTTTAATTTCCAAACTCCTAACAGAGTGCCAGCATGCACGTGACACCAATAAACACTACGAGGAACTGTTAGTTCCTGACTTCTCACCGCCCTAACCTAGAATCCATCTTCCCGTCCACGCAAAAATCAGCCTTAGCATTCAGTGATGCTAAATCAACACGAAAGTGTAGCTCGTTACCATCTTTAGAGCACAATAAGAATATGAACATAAATAACTACATTCACACATTTATCTCGTTCCATTTCCCAAAGACCAACACTTTCCACTTGCTGCCCCTGCTGGAATTTTTATGGAAAGAGATGGTCAACAGTTGTCCCACAAAACTATTAACAGAACCGTCTTTCTATTCTGACCACACGTGTGAAAACAGGGTGATGGAACCTGGGTTATCCGAGCACTCTGAATCAAGAAGAAGTGACAGATTCTGTCCAGAGCACAGGCGGCTCTGTCGTTTCTAATGCTGCCCAACCCGGGACCGTCCGGGACCATCCGGGACCGTGAGGGAGTGGCGAGCGGTGCCCTGTGGAGTCAGGAAGGGTTGCCCTGTGGGCATCAGGAAGGGCTGCTCTGCGGGCGGAGAAGGCAGAGTGCATGGCGCTGTGCAAGGGAGGAGAATGTGACGAGCATGAGAGGAGCCACGTGTGAGAACTTTCCAGAAAGAGGAATGTTCACCCCACCAATGACACGAGGGAGTAAACACTGAACAGTGAATGCAGTGACGTCATCCTGGTGGATCCATCGAAACACATCTTGACTTAGTCCACTTCCGTGGAGGGGACATGCTTCGATGCTTCCTGGGTCCAGTGTGAGTCTGAGAACTCCAGGAGGAAACCAACAGGATCACCCCATTTTCATTAATATTTTGGGGGGAAGGAGCCTGGCCAGGGTCCAGTGCTGCACAGAGGGAGGGAGCTCTCACTGTGCATGGGGACACCCGGCAACCTCCCAGTGTGGGTGTCCGCAGAACTGACACCCAGAGCGTCATCATTCTACTCACTGACCGCACCTTATCCAAATGAACCCAAGTCACACCCTATCTTCCCTGGACCCATCTCCACGTGCTCCCCGCCAATCAGCCTCCCAGGAAACAGGAAATCCCGTCCTGCATCCACCGCACTGACCCTTCTCTGTCCCGGCACGGGACGAGGATGGCAAGCTGGAACTCAGCCCGCGGACCCCTCGGGACCTCGCCTCCCCCACCAGGCGACCCCAAGCAGGCCCCCTCCCCGCCTCTCCCCTCACGCCACCATCACATCATCTGGAGATGTGCAAGCGGTGACATGCAGCCGCTGCACACGTGTGGCCCTTCCCGGGAGTCACCTTCCCCACGTCAGTCACTCGGGATGAGTCGTTCGCAGCCCCTCACCTCCCACGCAGGCAGGTCTCCTGGCAGCCGCACCAGCACTGCACATCATACCCTCTCGATCACAGCTGCCTTTACAAGAGCTTGTACAATGTGGTAATACTTCTCCTCCCAGTAAATCCCAGACGCCATGGTTTTGCTATGTGTAGCCAGGACCTAGCACAGTGCCTGCCATATGCTATTTGCTGAATGAATGCAATAGTAAAACAAATACAGTAGTCCTAGCCAGTTGGCTCAGTGTATAGTGTTAACCCACGGACTGAAGGGTCCCAAGTTCGATTCCAGGCAAGGGCATATACCTTGGTTGCATGTCCCCTGGCCCGGATTGGGGTGTGTGCAGGAGGCAACTAATCAATGTGTCTCTCTCACATCAATGTTTCCCTCTGCCTCTCCCTCTCCCTTCCATTCTAAAAATCAATGGAAAAATATCCTTGGGTGAGAATGAACAACAACAAAAAATACAGTATATTTAATAGACTCTCGTTTTATGGGATAATACAAGAAAATCCCTGTTAAAATTACTAGTTTAACAAGTAATTATGCTTAGGATTCCGGTGTTACGAGTCTCATTCAACACAGCCTGACATCAGGTGCACATTATGTGCACGCAACCTTCTGAGGCCTCACAAGCACATCCTCTCTCATGAAAAGGCTCCCACGTCCCAGCCCCACCAAAGCCCACAGTCACTCGGGGATCTGCTCAGGCGCCGCCACTTACATGTAGATCTCCTCCAGGCTGTTGGACAAATCTGCTCGTTCCTGCCCTTTAAGCCAAGGAGCACTACGATTAAGGAAAAGGAAGTAGAGGTTATTCAGGGCTTATGTTTGCATCTCACCCCAATTAGGGCTTTCACCCCAATTAGTTTTATTTAACTTTCAAAAATTATTTTCATTAAAATGTTGTCTTAAATTAATACAGTTCGAAAATGCTTCCTCGGCATTACCTCGTTCAATCCTCCCAGGAAGCCCTGATGAAACACCAGTATTATCCAACTAGAATGTGGTTTAAAACACGGTGAGCTCCGGGGACCAGGGGATCGGATCGCCCATTCCACACCTAAGCTGCCGGTTCCCGGGAGTCTCCTGCTTTCTCTAACCGGCGTCTCAAAATGGCTGCTGTCACCAACAAGGCGGTGCCACGTGACTGTAGGAGATTTTAACATTTCTGAAAAGGGTACCTACTCATGTTTCTAGCATTCTATAACTAGACCTTTTTAATAAATAAATAAGCTTAACAGTGCAGGCCCATTACTAACAGCAACTGTTGCAGCTGTGGTTCCAAAACACTCATAGGAAATGCAATCCTCCCCAGCAGGTAAAAATCTAGTCATTGAGCCCTGGCAGGTGTGGCTCAGTGAATAAGAGTGTCAACCTGTGGACTGAAGGGTCCTGGGTTCGATTACTGTCAAGGGCACGGACCTGAGATACAGGCTCCTCCTCAGCCCGGACCCAGGTCGGGACACATGCAGGAGGCAACCCATCGATGTGTCTCTCTCACAGCGATGTTTCTGTCTTTCCCTCTCTCTTTTACTCTCCCTAAAATCAATGGAAAAATATCCTCAGGTGAGGACTAAAAAAAATGAGTCACTGAGATTCAATGCAACTCTGTTCCCAGGGTCTAAACTTCCTAATAGGTCAGTGGGCAAGGTCAAGCCAAGGAGACACGACTCAGCAGCTCACAGTCCTGGAAAGTCCGCTCTGGCTGCGGAGAAGACGGCTCCTCAGCAATGCAGGGCAGGAAGGAGCCCCGGGCCCACCAGGATACTTCCTGGAGGCACCAGAGTACTTTGTGGAGGCAGGGGTATTTCCTGGAGGCCCAGAGTACTTCCTGGAGGCAGGGGTACTTCCTGGAGGCAGGGGTATTTCCTGGAGGCCCAGAGTACTTCCTGGAGGCAGGGGTACTTGCTGGAGGCAGGGGTACTTGCTGGAGGCCCAGAGTACTTGCTGGAGGCAGGGGTACTTGCTGGAGGCACCGGGGCACTTCCTGGAGGCAGGCAGGAGAAGGCAGAGGCACGCCAAGGCCCTGTGGCTGGAGCTGCGGCAGAGCCAGGACGAAGGAGCTCTGCGGTGGGGTTCTAGATACCAGTTTGTCTAAAGCTCTGTCCCCATCTCTAGGACAGTATTAAGTGACGTACATCGCTGTGTTTTTATGTAATTAAATGTACTTAAATACTCTACACCACGCCCAAAAGGCATTAATTTCTACATACATTTTGAAAAGATACTTTATGCACACAATGTACAGTATCAACAATCCTTGGAAAGCAGGATTTTTATAAAATAGAGCTACCTTTACAGGATGGAATACTACTCAACTGTGAAAAAGGATATCTTACCTCAGAGGGACCTGGGGAGCATTACACAAGTGAAACAAACAGCCAGAGACAGACAAGCACCACATGGTTTTACTTACACGTGGAATCTAATGAACAAAATAAACTAACACACACACAACTGTTTAAAGTAAAACTATGCTGACCTCAGAGACGTTAAAATAAAGACACAGCAATTGAAAACCCGGAACGGAAAGAGCTTACTTCAGCTGGTACACAGGGGGCGCTGAGCCCGGGTACTCGCTCGGCAACATCACCTGCGGGCAGAGTGAACACAAAGGCTTCATGTCATGACTCACAAGTCATATTTTACAGTCGGTCCCTCGACAGACCCTAACCCCAAACCACTGTCCTGTTAAATCTCCAGACTCCCGCCTCAGGGTTATGCTTCCACTTCAAATGATGTTGCTAATGATGATGCTGAATTTTTAAGAAGGAATTTACAATTTGCAGAGAAAGTTTAAAAGCAACAAAAGTTAGAAAACAAAGATGAAAGAAAAACTGAAATAGGATCATTATATAGTAACCCTAAGTGAATGGAGTGGCATTGTAACACGTTAGAGATTTTTTTCTGAAATACTAAAAATTAATGTAATCCTACTATATCCTGCTAATTACATTACAGGTTACACTTAAGAAAACCATACAGATCTCTTCCAACACGGAATTATTATAAAGACAAAGACTGAAAACTCAGGCAGCAGAGGCTAAGCCTCAGAGCAGAAATCCTGCTGGTCTGTTCAGACTAAGCCTGACCACACCGCTGTTAACACAGAAGTGAGGCCAGGCTGGGCACCGCACCACTGACCTCCTGCTCCCCCTCAGCGCCCGCTCTCCCAGGGCCACCTCCTCACCCACCAAACGGGCACGAGGTGGTGAGACACGGCGTCAGGGCGCGGGGAGGACTCACATAACTTAGAGAACTGAGAGAGAGCTGGGACCGTCCATCGAAGCCCACGTCAGAGCAAGCCGAGATGTGATGACCCACAAGTTTGGGTCACCAATCATTAACAAAACCCAACAACTAAAGTCAATTCCATCAAGTCACACAAGCAGGGTCACTGCGGGAACCCGGCAGCAGCAGGTCCTGAAGTCCATTCGGGGCTGCACGAGGAGGAGGAGGAGGGGGAGGGGGGGGGGAAGAGGAGGAGGAGGAGAGGAAGGAGGAGGGGGGGGAAGGGGAGGAGGGGGGGGGAGGGGGGGGGAAGAGGAGGAGGAGAAGGGGGGAGGGGGAGGGGGAGGACCATCTGCAGGAGGAGGAGAAGGGATGCCTGCAGGAGGAGGAAAGAGGAGGGTACCTGCAGGAGGAGGAGAAAGAGGAGCAGGAGGAGGGGGAAGAGGAGGGGTACCTACAGGAGGAGGAGGAGAAGGGGTGCCTTCAGGAGGAGCAGGAGGAACAGGAAAAGGGGTGCCTGCAGGAGAGGGGTACCTGCAGGCAGAGCGTCCACTTGGGGTCGTCTATGTCGTCGCTGATCCTGATACAGAAGATCTTGGCGCTATCGTCGATGACACACCACTCCTCGCCATAGATGGCCGCCATGGCCTCGATTTCCTCATTCTGCAGGAAGTGGGGAAGGGGGGCTGTCAGCAAGCGCCCGCGTTTCCCCAATTGGTGGAGAAGGCATCTGCCTTCCACGGTACCAGCCTGACGTCTGTCACAGGATCAACAATAAACAGACACATTTGTTTTTTAGATCTTTTATTTTATTTATTATTTTCCACAGAGAGGAAGGGAGAGGGATAGATAGCTAGAAACATCGATGAGAGAGAAACATCGATCAAATGCCTCCTGCACGGGGTTGTGCCCACAACCAAGGTACATGCCTTTGACTGGAATCGAACTTGGGACCTTTCAGTCCTCAGACCACGGCTCTATCCACTTAACCAAACCTGTTTCGGCCAAAACACATTTTTAATAGAACACAGTGCGGGTGAGTGAAGGGTGAATGGAGGGGTAGATGGAGGGGTGGGTGAGGGGGTGAATGGAGGGGTGGGTGAGGGGGTGAATGGAGGGGTAGATGGAGGGGTGGGTGAGGGGGTGGAGGGGTGGATGGAGGGGTGGGTGAGGGGGTGAATGGAGGGGTAGATGGAGAGGTGGGTGAGGGGGTGGAGGGGTGGATGGAGGGGTGGGTGAGGGGGTAGAGGGGTGGATGGAGGAGTGGGTGAGGGGGTGAATGGAGGGGTAGATGGAGGGGTGGGTGAGAGGGTGGAGGGGTGAATGGAGGGGTGGGTGAGGGGGTGAATGGAGGGGTAGATGGAGGGGTGGGTGAGGGGGTGGAGGGGTGGATGGAGGGGTGGGTGAGGGGGTGAATGGAGGGGTAGATGGAGGGGTGGGTGAGGGGGTGGAGGGGTGGATGGAGGGGTGGTTGAGGGGGTGGTTGAGGGGGTGGGTGAGGGGTGGATGGAGGGGTGGGTGAGGGGGTGGATGGAGGGGTGGGTGAGGGGGTGGAGGGGTGGATGGAGGGGTGGTTGAGGGGGTGGATGAGGGGGTGGATGGAGGAGTGGATGGAGGGGTGGATGGAGGGGTGGATGGAGGGGTGGGTGAGGGGGTGGGTGAGGGGGTGGATGGAGGAGTGGATGGAGGGGTGGATGGAGGGGTGGATGGAGGGGTGGGTGAGGGGGTGGGTGAGGGGGTGGATGGAGGGGTAGATGGACGGGTGGGTGAGGGGGGGTGCAGGGCGGACGTGAACTCTGACCCCCTCTCGGCCCGGTCCGCCTTCCGCTTGGGGCCGGGGCCGGGGCCGGGCCCGCGGGCTGCCCCACGCGGGCGGCCCCGGAGCCCAGTGCGTGCGCGGGAGTCCCGCGGGGCCGCCTTCCCGCCTCCGCGAGGCCCCGGCGGCGGCCCCCGGCCCCCTGCCCCCGGCCGGTGTCCTGTGGGGGGGACGCCGGGCCCGCCGCCCGGGGTGCGGGCGCGAAGCGGGCTCCTCGGGCCGCGGCGGCGGGGGCGCGGGGGAGGCGGGAGGCGCCGCGCGGAGGCCGGACCCGGGGCGGCGGCGGCGGAGCAGGAGGCCCGGCGGCGCGGGCGGAACCCGGCGCCTGGGCCCGCGCTCACCTGCCTCTGGTCGCCGCCGCCGTCCCCCTCAGCCATGCGGACGGCGCGGTCCGGGCGCAGAGCGAGCGCGGAGGAGCGGAGCGGGCCGACCGGAAGCGCAGCCGCATCTGCTTCCGGGTTACGGCCGGCTCCCGGGGTCGGGTCGCGCCGGGTCTGGGCCGCCCCCTCCCGCCTCCCCAGGGAGCCCGCAGCCGGGCCGGACGCGGGAAGACGGAGCGTGGGCTCCCCGCCTTCCCAGGCCGGCTGACCCATCCGGGCCCACTGGTCCTCGCTCCCAAAGCTGGGCTTTTAAGGCATTTTGTCTGATTTGGGCGAGGCGGCTGCAGAAACCCTCCCCCCCCCCCACACACACAACTTGTCTCAATATCCAAAACATTTATTCCTAATATATTCTTAGGATTCAGAGAGGAAGAGAGGGAGCGGGACAAACATCAGTGTGAGAACCAAGGACCGCTGCCCCCTGCACGTCCTCCCATCCCCCACCCCGGGGTGCAGCCACGAGGCCTGTGCCCTGACCCCCTGGCTCACAGAGTCACTCATCCCCTGAGCCACCAGGCGGGGTGGGAAGGGCATCCTCATCATTTAGGATCCATTCCTCAGGAAATTGGCAAGGTCAGCCCCTTGGACGGTTTAATTAAAGAAATCACACTTTGTGAACATTCTAAAGCCTTTATTTTGCATCAGGTAGATTATTTCATTATAACACTTGTTAACTTTAAGACAGCAATGAAATAATTTACTGGCAGCTACCTAAGACCCCGGAGCTACAGCTCAGCCTGGGGCTGGTGGATAAATAGAGGGTTAATGTGCCCCAATTAAAGGGGCCAGGCTGCTGTACAGCAGGTCTCCATACGTGTCCTACGTACACGGGGCCTGTGAACCTGAACACACAGGAACGCCTGCTCCACAGATAGATGCGTGTCATACACGAGTGCAACTTAATCTCCCCGGCGGCACACCACCAGGCGAGTCATTATGTAATAACGGTGATTAAAATCTATTCTAGGGCATTTTTGTGAATTGCTAGAGTTCATACATATTTTCAATTGGAACATGGATCATTAAACACTTCTTAATCCTAATGGCTGGTTACAGAATTGTAAAAGGAAACTCAGCATCACAATAAGCAAACAGAAGACCTTTCAGTTCAGTTCATTCGAATTCTCAAGGCCCAGCCGCCCTCTGTCTGGCTCCGCAGGCCTGGCCCGTGTGCCGGGAGGGCTCGGACGGCCCATTGGGAAGGCCTCTGACCCACGTCTTTCTCTGCGTCTGAGCAGCGAGCCGTGTATGGGAGAGGCCGACTCATCTCAAAGTCACATCTAGAACATTCAAGCCCAACAGCATAAAGTAGCCAAAATAACTCTATAATTTTATAAAGCTAAGTTACATGTAGGTATATAATTTCATAAAGCTGAATTACATTCAGGTATCCACCTCCCGAAACTTCAGTGAAGCTGCCAGAAAGCACGCCCGCCCGCAGGCCCTCGGACCTCTGTAGACAGTACCCACGTCAGCCCGTTCAGTAGCAAAAGTACCCATTTTCTGTAAGACTCCCATCACCGAGGTCACCTTGTGCCCTGTTTTGGGGGGGTGAAATGCAAGTGACGAATGGGGTTTTTCTTTTCTTTTTTCTTTTTTTTAAAGATGAGTAGAAACCAAAGAAAACATTTTAAAACACAGGTTTAAGACGGATCTGTAGATTAGCCCCACGCCCTGACTTGTCTGCCCTTTAATAAATATCAGGCAAGTTCGAGTAGTTTCTGTCCCAGTAGCTGCCGGAGTAGAGCCAGTCCTGTGCCCCATTGTGGGGGTTGGGGCCTTGATGGAACCACCTGTGGGGAGAGAGGGAGAGAGACCGAGGTTTAGGGGGACGGAAGGGCAGCGGCCGCGGCCTGGCAGCCTTAGTACCTCCCTCGGCAGCAGTTCACCCGGGGTGTGTGTGTGTGTGTGTGTGTGTGTGTGTGTGTGTGTGAGGTGTGAGGTGCCGTCTCTCGTGCTGAGACCACGCAAAGGGCGTGCAGACTTCCCACAGCACGTGGCCAGGTTGCTTCACAGAATTAGAGTCTTCTGTCTCCGAGGGTTAACCAATGTTTTTGTCTAATTGTTCATCCTCTAGACCCATTACCTTCCACTACAAGTCCTTCTTTTTAAGGCAATTAGAAATAAGAATTTGCCCTAACCTTTTCTTCATATATATTGTCACCGGACAATCAACGGGTCCGTGCTGCCTGTCACTACTTGAGCCAATTCAGCAGAGACAGGACTGAGTCCTATATGAGGGTTGACCCCAATCCCACTGGCAGCTGGGAGAGCAGCAGTCACCCACAAAAGTCTGCTCTGCCCCCCACCATCAGCCAGCTGCTCATATTGGGTAGAAGGACAGAGACTACATTGGGAAGTAGGCAAAAGGATTCCACTAGAAGTCCTTCTTTTGGAAGCAATTAGAAATAGGGAATTGGGATAAAGTGAACTTTCACAATTTAACTGCAGTAATGTTTTTGCCTGGTTCAGAGCAAATGCCCCTTCTCCCCACACCAAAAAAATAATAAATAAACAAAACCCTTAAAGCCCCGTTGTACAAAACGACTGGATGTTGGAGATGAATGACTTGTCCAAGCTAATAACTGACATCGAAGTTGTTGGATTTTAAAGACGGTGGTTTTTCAAAGCTGTTATGCCACACGTGGTTCATGGGAGGCTGTCCCACCCGAATCTCCCTGGGCCCCATCTCCTCTATGCTAAGATGGACTCCCAGGCTACATGCCGGCTCCTAAGATCCTAACCTGCCTTCTAATCTGCCCTAGTCATTGTCTTGCCCTTTAAAAACCTGGCGGCCCCTTCCCCACGGCCCCAGCTTCCTCTGAATGATGGGAATGCAGACCTACTGCCTAGAGGCTCAGGGAGTGCCATTCTTCGAAACATGATTTCGTTTCCAGAGTAACACTTGTGAACAGTCTTAACTGTCTCTGCCATTCTCTCCAAATAAATAGCTTCTAACCATATTTAGCAATTAAAAGTGAGGTGAGCCCAGCTGGTGTGGCTCAGAGGTTAAGTGTCAACCTATGAACCAGAAGGTCAGGGTTTGATTCCCGGTCAGGGCACATGCTGGAATTGTCAGCTTGATTCCCAGTAGGGGGCAGGAGGAGGCAGCCGATCAATGAGTCTCATTGTTGATGTTTCTCTCTTTTCCTCTCCCTTCCTCTCTGAAATCAATAAAAATATATTTTTTTTAAAGTGAGGCTTGATTTGTTTGCTAAGTCCCAAATGTTCCTATTACTACAGAAGCAGTAAAAACCCTGAGAAAAACCACTTCAGGCCAGGCCAATTCCTTGAAGGATCATTTAGTAAATGCCCAAAATTTCTAGAATATTACATACATTATGTAGCTTTGTGGGCTTTTACTAATTAGAAAATGTATAGCCTCCTGAGATGATCAAAGTATCTAATATTACTCAGACTTGGGTCACCAAAGTAGGTGTAGCTGAAGGACCCGGGCTTTGGTCAGAATCCCAGGACGGTTGTCCCGTGGGAAGTACATTATGCTCTTCTGGGTCTCAAAAGCCGGAGCTGCAGCCGCACTTCTGCGGTCAGGCCTGCAGAGCTGAGCTCCAGAGAAGCCAGCAGGTCCAAGTCAGAGCGACGAGGAACGTCAAACACTCACTGGCTGAGGCCCGCCACGGTCTCCCACACGGAACGGGGAGGATGACGTTTGCCGGAGACATTTCACAAATTGGTGGGCTTAGTAGCAAAGGATGTTTTCTCTGAAGACCATGTCATGCCTGCAAGCCTCACAGGCTGCTTGTGGGGGTGGGGAGGCAAGGGGAGGGAGGGGGGAGGGAGCTGACTCTGCAATGGAGAGAAAACCTGGACCTTGGGGTGCATGGTGCAAAGAGCTAGGCTTCTGTTCAGTTCCTGAGTCTTAAAAAAAAAATTTCAAAACTCAGAAGTTTATTGTCCACTTTCTACTTCTAAGTGAAGTCCAGAGTGTCCTTTACACGAATGAATCCTATTTCCACACATGCCCAGTCCCTCGTGCCTGGAAGAGCAGAGAGCTGTCTACAGTCCCTGACACCTGGCACAGGTGTGAGCAGGCGGCCTGTGAGGTGCCTGCAGCAGGCTTCACTCCCTCACCTGGGGAGGTGGGGCCTGCCAGGAAAGCTTTTCTTAATTGGCATTCACCTGGGATGACCGCATTGCTCCTTTAATCTCCAAATAGCCCTTTTCTTGGCGGCCAAGCATGTGGTGGCGAGAACTCAGGCGCAGGAGCAGCCTGGCGAGGCTCACCTGGGGCTGCTCTGCAGTTCCCTGGCCCACCTCTGCGCCCCCAGGGCAGCCAAGACCCCCACACAGAGCCCGTCCCGCTGTGGCCCCGCCCCCAGCTCAGCTCCCAGGCCCCATGCACACCTGGTCCTCCAGTCCTCCTCCGACCTGGACCTGTTTTTGCGCGCGGCCCTCTGCTTCTCCTCCAGGCGTTTCTTCTCTTCACTGGCGAGATCTGCAATGAAGGCGACGGGAACCAGTTACGGGGGCAGTGGAGCAGCGCATCCCCATGTGTTAGCAGGAACTCCCCTGTATCCGACACCCCCAGCTGCCTGCACCCATGCCCTGCACCCAGGTGGGCGGGAGGCACCCGAAGGAGCCTGCATAGCCCAAGGCCTCCGGAATGATGTCCCTTCTGTAAAAAGCGGGGCAGAGAAACCCAACACATGCGGATGCTCCTAAATTCTGAGACCTCACAGAGCGTGCTTCCTTCGTGGAAGGAAGGATTCAGATACACTGTGCGGGCCGTGGCCCCAAAGCTCAGTGCTTAGTGAGAACACGCCTCCAGACGGGCATGTGGTCAGCCTGGAATCCCCGTGGGGGGCTGGCCTGCCCAGGAGGACATTCACTGCACCCCAGCCTCCGCCCACCAGCCAGGAGCCCCCAGCTATGACAGCCAACCAGTCCCCAGGCCCTGCCCCAGGCCCCCCTCTGAGACCCCATGGCTGAGAGGAAGTGCCACACCAGCAGATAGAAAAGTTGTGGTTACCCACAAGCTCCTTGAGGCTTAGCAGGTGATACTTAATTCTAAAATATACAGCAAATAGTCAGAAGGCACTTCAAAGTGTATAAAAACGTCATCTTTTCAACTTCCTCCCTGACATTGAAGATACGCCTTTGGTTAGAATAGGCTGCCGGTGGCCAGGTGGGAGGGGGTGGGCTGGGGGGAAAGGTGAAAGAAAGAACACAAATGGGCAGCCACGGAACCCGCACGGGGTGTGGAGCAGCCACGGAACCCGCACAGGGTGTGGAGCAGCCACGGAACCTGCACGGGGTGTGGAGCAGCCACAGGATCCACACGGGGTGTGGAGAAGCCACAGGGAGCAGTCAGTGACGCTGTAACTGCTGCATGTGGCCGGGTGCTAGCCTCCCAGGGGACCCCTAAGTTACATAAACGTCTAACCACTGTGCGCGCCTGCAGCTAGCGGAGTGGTGCACGTCAGGGTAGCTGAGGGGAAGGAAAGGAGGGTGCACCTCAGGTAACAGTATGTCATCACCTCCGCTAACAAGAGTACATCATCACCTCCGACATGACGACAGGGCGAGTACAGTCACCTCAGCTCTCCAAATTTAATCACATTTTAATTCAAAAACGTCTGAGGCAGCATGTATCCAGGGCCGGTAGTCCCCGGGGGACAGCCGAGTGTGGGCGAGAGCAAGGGAGAGACAGGCAGCCGGGCGGCGTGGCCTGCCACCCTCTGCCTTTCCTGTGACGTAATAAGCACGCCGAGACTGAACCGTGTGTCCTCCCAGAGCCTCGCAATCAGCCTCAGGAGCAGAGCCAGCCATCCCCCCAGAAGGACTCTCCCAGCAGCACGCCCGCGCCAGTACCGATCTCCCCGTTCTCCATGGCCCTGATGTCGGGCCGCAGCCGGCAGTCCGTCTTGGGAATCACGCTCTCCATGTCCTTGTCCACTTCGTTCAGCACCATGGCGAAGCTGGTGAAGTTGTACATCTGCGGGAAGCAGGATGCCCGAGTGAGCATGTGCCGGACACACGCACCAGGGGACCGCTGACGGTGGAGTGGGTCTGAGCTGACAGCGACACACACACACACACACACACACACACACCCGTGTAAGGCCAGGACCGCGCACCTAACGGTCTCTGCTGGCGTCTGGGCCCCTGTGGGTATCGGCCCAAAGGCATCTGGAAGCAGGCCTCACAGAATGCACAGCCATGTCACTGCCACTTTAAGCAGAACTACAGCACAGCCAGCATTCCTTCTCCTCTCTCATGGAAATCGTTCCTTGCTGGACCTCAAGAGGCTGCATCCACTTACACGGAATGAAGCCAGTGTCCCTCCTAAGGAATCACTAGCCCCCACCCCAGCACCTCTGCCTGAGCCAGGCACGGGGTGCCCAGAGTCCTGGCTCTCAGGGTCAGAGTGAACGGGAACTGCACCCGAGCCCAGAAGGGACCGCCCCGCCCACATCCCTCCTGCAGGGCCCGCACACGGGAAGAGCAGCCTCGGGCTGGATGTGGAGGCGAGGCCGTGTTGCAAGCCCAGCCTCACCTGCGCAGAGTTGGGGGGCCGGGGGGCTATCCGCCACAGGAGGACGCTCCCGGGGATGACAAACACGCTCTCCGAGTCCGGCATCGGCATCTCGTCCGACTCCTCTGACGCGCTCATCTGGAAGAAGAGCGATGAGCAGTCTCTTACACATCGGGAAATGGCACCGTTTATGCACCGCACCCACCAGGATGCACCTGCCCGGCTGGGCCCTGACTCTCCTCCTCTCCTTGCCTGGCCCTCAGCCTCAGGCGCTGGTAAAGCCACAGCAATCCAGCGATCGAGTGCTGGGAGCTTGGTGTTTGCAGCCTGAGTGGCATTTGCATTCGAGGCTTTACTGTCACCACCATTCTCACTATCGTGTTTTTAACGTTCTATGTGTCTTTAAGGCAGAATAACTCAGCTGAGTATTTCCTTTGTGCAAGATTATGTTCTTGGGGCAGCTAACGCAACGAACACTGACAAACCAGCAGGCATCCCAAGAGCATGTGGCAAAGAGAGAATCCTGGAGGTAAGCATTTGATTGTGAAAAAGGTCTGAGGACTATGTCATTTACACGCCAATTAAAACAAGACTCAAGGAGAAAATTGTATGTGTGCGTGAGCAGGACGGGCACAAGGTCAGACTGTGACCTAGTAACAGGCCGCCTCCCGAGGGATGAAGATGGGGCCCCCCGAGCCACCTTCCAGAAGGCTCACCTGTTTGCTGTGCTTCTTCTCTTCAGTGTTTTTCTTGTCATTTTTTTTGAAGGCATCGAACGTGGCCGGATCAACACTATACAGACATTCGGTCCACTTCCCGTAGAGGGCACAGAGCTTCTTTTTGCTGCCAAGAGACACCAAGGCTCAGCCAGCAACCAAACCAGCTCACCTACCCGACTGCTGTTATATAAAGGCTTATTATCAGACTAGAGGCCGGGTGCACAAAATTCATGCACGGGGGAGGGAGGGAGGGAGGGAGTACCCTCAGCCCAGCCTGCACCATCTCCAATCTGGGACCCATTGGGGGATGTCCAACTACCAGTTTAGGTCCGATCCTAGGCCTACACTGACAGTCAGACATCCCTCTCACAATCTGGGACCACTGGCTCCTAACTGCTTGCCTGCCTGCCTGATCGCCCCACGTAACCTGCTGGTCGTTACTGTTACTGGGACTGTATCCTGGAAAATTTGCATATTCCTCTATTATTAATATAGATTATTTAAAAAAAAGAGTGCCTTTAAGAAAGATTTTTTTTTCAATGTATTGAAATGCCTCTTCTGAGGTTAATGCAGCAGGTTTCAATACTATTCAGCAAACAACACCCATACTATTCAATCATTTTAAATGGGTACTTTACCTTTTATCTTGAATGTAGCCTTCGACTTTGTGTAATTCCTTCCCAAAAAGGCCACATGGCTTGAAATTCAACACACATTTGTCCCCGGTCCTACAAAGGAGACATAGAGCCCAGGTTACCAGCCAGCATGGCAGAGGCAGGGGAGGACAAGGACTATGGTGACGTTACCAACAGCAGTGCTCCAGGGCCACCACAGGCAGAGTGAAGCAAGGCCCTAAGAGCAGTGCTTGTTGCTATGGAATGAATATTCTGTGTGTCCCCCAATCCATGTTAAAGCCCTAGCCCTCGGTTGGGATGGAGTTTGGAGGTTATTAGGTCACAAGGGTGGAGCCCTCGCAAAGAGGGTTAGTGCCCTCAGAAGAGACAGGAGAAATGCCTGCGTGCATGCACTCTACTCTCTCTCTCCCCCTCTCTCTCTCTCTGTCTCCCAGCTCTCCCAGGTGAAGACACACAATGTGGCCATCTGCAAACCAGAAGAGGCCTGCCCAGACATCACATCTGCGCCCCCATCTGGGATGTGCTGCCCCCTCCCCTCCGCACCGTGGGAAGTGAAGTCCCACATACAGCCCAAGCTCGCACAACCCTGGCCTAAGGTCACAAAGGAGGCTTGGACCCAGCTCTCCCTGTTATATCCCCAGCCCCACTTCTGCGCAAATAACACCAACACAACCTAAGCACAACGAGCGGCTGTTTTAAGGTTCACCGAGCCCGGGACAGCTCAGACATCAGCGAGTTCACACTCGTCAGAAACGGCAGTGAACTCTGTCCATCAAATCAGAATATTTGTGACAGTGCCTGTTTTGAATTTATCCAGAGCTTTTTTTAACGAAGCCACGGAGCGCGATGGTGACACGGAGGGGCCTGGTGCCCGCGGGGCCGACCTGTGGTTGGTGATCTCCATGGTGCCGTACTGCTCGATCCAGAGCTTCCCCACGATGATGTTGTGCACACAGCAGGTCGGGTTTGTCCACGTGTACGCCTCGTTGTGTCTGAAAACAAGGCAAAGCCAAACCCAGAATCGTAAGCAAGAAGAGCTGTTTTATTTAAAAAGCGCATTTGTCTCAAATGCCACTCTGAGGACAGCCACCCCGAACTCGGGAGCGTGGCTCCGTGGTGTTGGCTCCTGGCAAAGCAGGGTCGTCTGACCACTTTGTTCCTTTAAAGGATGCTAAAGCGTAAAGAAAACACTGCCCTGCAACCGCACCAAACTCCAAACACACGACGTGTATAACCATCCAATCCAAAGTTAGGTGAGAACGTATTTGAAAAATGAAATTGGAGGCAGAAAATAAAAATGAAGGCCTATTACTGAGCACTCTCCACAGCAAGTACCCTCTGCTCATCAAAGGGGAAAAGTCATGTATGTGAATAAGCTCCGTTTTTAATCCTCACTTGAGGACATTATTGATTTGAAAGAGGAAGGAGGGGGGAAGAAGGGACTTATGTGAGTGAGAAACACCAATCGGCTGCCTCCCCCTACTCCCCCCCGTGCATGCCCTGAACAGGGATCGAACCTGCAACCTCGGTATGTTCCCTGCCCACCAGGGCGACAGCTCCAGCTGTCCCTATGCCCAGGCATCCCAGCAGCGGGTGATGTCCTAATAGCCTTCGAGGTTAGCTTCTTCGGTGTGTATGATATGTTTTAAGTTCTGTTTGTGAGTAATTTCTTCTTTCCCTTTTCTGAGCAGTGTTCCCTTGGATGGTTTAACCATGCAATCACTGAGACTTGGGCTGCTCCAGGTTTGGGGACTATGAATAAGAATCTGTACGTGTTTGTGCACGGTTTATGTGAGAAGAGGAGTCTTCCTGTCTCTAGAGCAGGGGCCATATGGACGTGGATAACGTCCAGGTCTTTCCTCCCCGGCAGGAAGGACAGGCTCACGTGGGCGGAGTCTGTTTTCCCGGAACTGAAAGCTCACGCTTTTTCTAAGGGAAGGAAAACGTCCAGCTGACCCAATGTCGGCGATGGGCCACACACTGCTATCTCCGCCATCCAGAGTGGATCCAGGTTGAAAGGCGGTTAAACAAAGTGTGATCGCCACAATCTACAGAAAGCGTGTCTCAAAATAACCACCACAAGGGGTCAACTGCTTTCTAACTCACAACAGATCCAAACATCAAGTTAACTTTCCAAACACACCCAGGTCTATCGACAATGCCACTACCCATCTCCCAGCTCTACCTGCAGGCAGGTAGCTGACACTCTATCTCCAGCTTCTGAATAAGATCAGGTCAGTTTGTGATCATATATACTCACGTGATCGTATATACTCATATGTGATCATATATTCAAGTGTGATTTTATATACTCGTGTGATCATATATACTTATGTGTGATGTACATACTCACGTGTGGTGTGTCTATTCATGTGAAGTGTATAATTAGGTGTGAATGTATAGACGTATGTGTGAATGTGTATATTAAGATGTAGACTTATGTGTGAGTGTATAGACTTACGTGTGAATAGATATACTCATGTGTGAGTGTCTAGACTTATGTATGAATGTATATACTAATGTGTGAATGTATAGACTCATGTGTGATGCATATGCTCATGCGTGATGTATACTCATGTGTGATGTGTATACTCGTGTGTGGTGTGTATACTCGTGCGTGATGTGTATACTGGTGCGTGATGCTTATACCCATGAGTGATTTGTATGCTCACGTGCACGTGTATATACAAATGGCTTGGCCCAGCTTACTGGAGAAGCTCGAGGGTGATGGTCCCTTTGGGCTCTGCCTCGACGCTCTTGCCCCAGAACTTGAGTTTGGGGTAGATGGAGCCGTGGAAGACAAAGTCGTTGTTCAGCCCCTCGGCATGGAAGGCGCTGATGGGCGGGTGATGGCTGACCTGCTCGGAGATGAGTCTGAAACCAAGGTCATCTCTGAAGGTTAAGGAAAAAGTAACATTGTCATTAATTCTCACCATGGATTGTGAACATTATTGTCATTTCAGTCCAAAAATATGACAGACTCAACAAGTAAATAATTCTAAACTTATTATCCCGATGAAAGAACGAGTTAATACAACTGTACAAATGCACTCCAACTACTAAGTCCTCTGTTACTTACTATAACTCCAGCCATTTAGACATTAAACTAAAGAGCACCATGTGGATTTCAGTGAGTGCACAAATTGATAGCATTAGCCATGGAAGTCTAATTCATGTCCTTCCTTTCATATGCAGATATACACATCTAGTGTGTCTACTATCGAATATCGAGGGGATGGATGAGATTGAAACTGTGGAGAAGGAAGGGAGCACTCAGACAATTAAAGCCAAATGCATCCCTGATCGAGTGCAAACACGAAGCAGGGGGAGCCAGCACGAAGCAGGGGCGGCCAGCCACACTGCAATGCAGACACACTCTTGGTCTTTATGCCCATGGGACACATTTATGCAAATTCGTTCCCTGTGATTAGAAAAACCCCAATCATGCCTGTGATCTGCCTAAGAACAGGACGGTAATCCCACGAGAACAGAACGTAAATCCCCATAACTACATGTTGTAATGTCTGCTGTGCCAGTTTTCAGTATGTTTGCATCGTCCCTGAAACAGGAAGCATCACAGAAACCAACATCCAAACTGCTGACTGGCTCGTCACACAGCCTCGCTGTCGGTGATGCTCAGAGTACCCATTTTCCGCTTTCGTTATAAGCGTTACACAGATCTTGCAGATTCACACGGGAGGGGTCTTACCGAACCAGTTCGTACGTCTCTCCCAGCAGCGGGTTGAAGGGCTTGCCCGTGCGCTCCCACTGCGAGGCCACTGCGGACACGGCGAACGCGGCCACACACTGCGGATGGCACGGGATCAGGTTAGAACAGCCTCGCCTGCTCCCGTCAGGCCCTGAATTCTGCTGCGGGCTGTAATTTATAGCCCGGCCGGGGGGACTCGGGTTGGGTGCTGACCTATAAACCCGGAGGTCACGGTTCTATCCTCGTCAGGGCACAGGCCCGGGTTGCGGGCTCCATCCCCAGTGCGGGGCATGTAGGAGGCAATGATCCATGTCTCTCTCTCACACTGCTGTTTCTATCTCTCTCCCTCTCCCTATCTCAAAAAAGTAAGATTTTTTTTTTTTTTAAATAAAATAAAATGAAGACTCAGAACGGCTCAGCAGCCCCGGGTGTGCCCTGGACCCTCTGCTTCCCCTCGGCCTCAAGGGTCCGCCCACCCCATGGCGCTCTGACCGGGGATGGCAGGAAGACACAGAGGACACCAGACACACCGACTGTCCCGTGACATTCCCAGCCGCCTGCTGGATGTCACGGGACTCTGTCCGTGTGTTTGGGGTGGGGCGGGCGGGCAGGCGAGGCGGGAGGCAGGGAAGTCTCGGGGCCTCAGCATCCCGCCCAGGCTCGAGCCTCCACCCACCTGCATCCTCTCGGCAGGGTCGGAGAGCGAGCTGGCCTTCTGGATGAGGTACGTGTGCTCCATGTACTCGCTGAGTCGCTGCAGGAAGCTCAAGGGCTCGTTGAAGATGACGGGCATGGTGATCTTGGACAGCTCCTGTGAAGAGAGAAGCGTCACCCGCTGCTCACACAGCCTGCACCACTGTGCGCTCAGTGGCCCCGGAGAGGAGGGCCCGGGAAGCAACGCCTTCCGGAGGGAACACCAGCCCGACCACAGACCCTCCGAGCGCCAGTGCATGGAGCAGCCGTCCCGGGAGCTCCCCGCAGGGAGACCCGGCTCCCCAAGCGTCTGCTTTGGCTCGGGGTTCGGCCTCGGGATTGCCCACACCATCTGCTGCGCGTAATTCTCCAGAATAAATATCAGCCTACACTTGACGGACAAGGACGTGTTCTGCGCATCGATCTACTGTACGCCGTGGAAGGGACCAGAAGGCTCCTGCGCATTCTATGGAACAGCTTCACCTCTGTCTACTGAATTACACACACAGTCCATGTCCACAAACCACTCAGTACCTGGGCAGGGTTCTCGGACCTGATTACAACCTGTTCACTGCCGGTGGCCAGCACGCACCAGGAGGTCCTTTAAACAACTCACTAGGCAACAGATTATCTTGGTATTCTCTGGAATGTTCTGGTACCTTCCCAGCTTTGCACCTACCCTCCTTCCCTTTTCCTGGGAGTCAAGTACTTCCTGAGCTTGCGGACTACTGACAGACAGTTTGAGTGACTACCCAGCTCTGACGTTTTCCCTGTAAACATCCAGTTTTTACCGACCTGCACAACTAAAGACAGCACAGCCTCCACAGAACCAGACCGGAGCCAGGAGGATCCACCCCTCACCAGTGCCAGGAGCCGACCCAGCTGCTGAGAGCAATGGCGGGACCCACGCAGCCTGTGGGAGACAGTGTGCGGCTCCTCGGAAGATAAAGCTGGAGCTCCCACGTGACCCAGCGACCCAGGCCGGGCTGCAGCCCACGGGCACATCCCCTGTGCTCGCAGCACGCCCCGGCTGCTTCCTGGCCCGCCTGCTCCCGAGAGGACTGTGCCTCTGGAGGTCACGTGTCCGCAGGTCCTCTTGCTAACGAACCACACGGTGACATTCCTGGAGGGGGGTCATCCCTGCATCGCCACTGCGCCCAGACCTGGGGAGCCCACTGCAATGCCAGCCCCCACCCCCTGTGCTCCTGTGGGTTCCCGGGCCACAGAGCTCGTTCCATTGGGCACTCAGCACAGCGGCTCGTTCCCGCCCGCACGGGGAGGCGAGCTCCCTGACTCCCAGACCCTCCTGTTTAAGATCCACAGCAATTCCCCAGGCCGGGCCTGGCGAGGCGGGAAACATGGGTTACAAAACACACGCTCCAAACACAGCCTGTTTATAAAACACGTTTATGGACACGAAACCAGCACCAGACGACACGGCATTTCGCTCACTGTCTCTAGGAGCCTCGGAACAGCACATGACTATCTTCCTGGCGCTTTTCCGTCTCCTCCGAGCTCCCTGCAGTGAACACCTATCATCTTCCAGCCGGGGTCAACCAGAGGTCATCTCAAACCTAGGACTTTCTGCCTGGGGCACGGAAAGGATGGAAAGCTAACCCCACACCACAGCAGTGGTGCCTGCACACACACACACATGCACATGCATGTGCACACAGAGAGACACATGCACACACACATCAATCATAAAGCAGGCACGAGAAAAGCAGTGTGAGTGGCACAGAAAAAACAGATCAAGGACGTGTGCACAGGCTTGCCCAGCCCCAAGCTAAGACTCGGCTGTGAACAGGAGGTGGAAGGTGGCCCCAGGGCAGGCGCTGGGGGGGATGGGAGGGAGAGACAAGAGGGAGTTCTGTGGGGGAGCAGACTTTGTGCCCTACTGTGGGCAGGTGGTGGTGGTGACAGAGCAGCATTCATGTCTCTGAACTCACATGACAACAGGCAAGACGGCAGACTGCACGTCATAGGCGTCGCACCTCAAGGGGACACCGCATTGTCCATGACCCGGAGGCAAAGAGCCTGGGAGGCTGGGCGGCTGGGCAGCTGAGCGCTAAGAAGCCCTGAGCATCTGGGCCTTCAGCTGGGAGGGAGGGTGGCTCCTCCTGGCGTCAGGCCAGCAGGGGTCGCTGCAGCCTTGCTGGTGCCCTTCATCCCAGACCATGCCCCAACCCATTCTTCACCTGACCACTTCCTGGTGACCACATGGCACCTCCCCCTTGTTTATGTCACTGCTTCTGGCTGTTCACCCGTCCATTCCCACCCCCCTTCTCCTGTTTAAGTCACACTGTCAGCTTATCAAATGGCTCCACCTCCTCATTTACATCAGCACTTCCAGCTGTTCACCTGGCCCCTCCCCCCCTGTTAACATGACCACTTCCAGCTGTTCACCTGGGCCCTCCCCTTCCTTCCAGAAGCCCCGCCCCCTTGTTCATTTGACCAATGAGACACACTGGCCAGGCTGCATTGCTCCTCACACAGAGGGGTGGACTTCCCAATCTCTGGAAGTTGTATTAAGTACCTAAAACAACTTGGCCTGGCCTTGCACACTTGAGCCACGTGGCCTGGCCTTGCATGCTTCGGTGCCTTGCTGACTCAGCTGGTGCAGACCCGTGAGGGGCAGGGAGACACTTTCCTGCTGGTTCTGCGCGTTCCCACCTTCCCAGGGAGAGGCATATGGGAAAGGGCGCAGACCTGGAGCCGCAGGGGGGTGGGGAGGGGTCCCTGGCCAGGACGCCCTCTCACCCGCATGGCACCCCAACAGTGCCTGGGCCCCCCTCAGCGAGCACTTTATGGTCCTCGTGATGTTTTTGGGGGAAGACGTCTTCATTTCTTTAATGAACAAACCCTTCCCGTTTCTAAGTAATCTCCCTGCTGCTGTGCACAGCAATGCAGACCCAAGGAGAGAGCTGAGCCCGAGTCCCAGGCTCCTCGGGGGCGGGCTGGGGCACCCCCGCCGGGAGCTGTGGTCTGGTTTGCTCCATGTCGTGTTCTGCTCGTCAGCACCGCGTGTGCTCCCGTGGGAAAGGCATGGAGGCCGGGTCCGGGAGAACATGAGCTGGCGCAGCAGGGAAATTAAATATTCATGCCGCGCAGCTCTACCCTGTGACCCAGCTAAGAGCCACGGCTAAATGCATCCGCCAGACGCATGGCAACCAGTGCCGACGCTGGAGGAAGCCTCAGTGCGAATGCTCATCAGCTGACAGACCAAGAAGGAGCGGGGGGAGTGCTGCTGTGTCCCGTGAGGACCAGGCCCGCGGCTCGACCAGGACAGACTACGTGTGACATCCAGCGTCGCCACGCCCAAGGCGCAAACGCTGAGCCTGGGTTCCGGCAGGGACTCGGCTCCTGGGCTGAGTCCAGGCAGGTCCTCGTGGGGATGTGGCCCCAAGTGAGGGGGGCTCCTGGGGCCTGTGCCCCCGGGAGGAGGAAGCTAGGGAGTCCTTCCCCCGCCCCTGACACCTCACCTCCCACAGCTCCCTCGGGGACGTGAGGGCCTCAGGCCGAGGTCTCCCCCCTGAGCTCCTGCAGTGACCCGCTGCCCTCCCCCCAGGGCAGGGGCAGGTATGGAAGAGGCACCCAGGAAGGAAGGGGACGGAGCAGGGAAGGGGGCGCTTGTGTGTGACCCCAAGCGGGCCCCTGGGTGCAGCTGTGGCAGACGGGGAGGGGCCGACGGGGCAACGGGAGTGGAGGTTCCTTTCCCCTCGGTCCCTTGGGCTGGAAGCACCTGGCCCTGCCGGGCCAATGAGTGGGACGTGGGCGACAGGGACCCCGGCTGGCGCCTGGCAGACAGTTTCCACAACCTCTCATGCGGGGCGCCGACGAACGACGCTCAGACCCGCGTGACGCCTACTCGGGGGGGGGGGGGGGTGACCCCGCTCAGGGGGGGAGGTGACCCCGCTCAGGGGGGGGTAACCCCGCTCAGGGGGGGAGGTAACCCCGCTCGGGGGGGGGTAACCCCGCTCAGAGGGGGGGAGGTGACCCCGCTCAGGGGGGAGGTGACCCCACTCAGGGGGGGTAACCCCGCTCAGGGGGGGGAGGTAACCCCGCTCAGGGAGGGGAGGAGGTGACCCCGCTCAGGGGGGGGGAGGTGACCTCGCTCAGGTGGGGGCTCAGGTGGGCCTATTTCAGGTCAGCGTGGAGGCAGGTGGCAGAGGTGCTGAACGTGAACTACTGTGGCTTCTTCCACCCCGTCTCTCAGGTCGTCTTTAGGGACCAGGCTCAGTCCAACCTGGGCCCTCCCTAAGACATGGCCTTCAGGAGGGGCCGTGTCACAGTGACTTCGCGAGCTTGTCTGACTCCCAAGCGCCGTCCACCCGAGGGTCAGCTGGCGGGGTGTGGGGTGGAGGCCTGGAGGGATTGGGCGGCGTCTGCATGGAGGGAATGAGCTAGCTCTGAAGGTTTGAAGGGAAATGTTAAAGCTCCTGCAAAGATAAAAGCATTTCACCAAAAAACATGTCAGCAAAGGTGTGTCTCAGGGAAACCATTCCACTTTCCTCCTCGGCCTGTTGTCCAATGGGGGGATGGGGGAGGGGAGAGCAGCTCTTAAACTAGGGGGGGGTCCTGGCCAAGCTTCCCCACTCGTCCTAGCAACCAAGATGCCCAAGGCCTCCAGGTGACCGACCTCTGCAGGTTGGGTCTCCCAGTGCTTGCTGTCAGCACCAGAGGGAGCCCTCGTTCAGCTGCCAGCTTCCGATCACAAAACCATCTGATAACAATAACTCTCAGTCTCAGGGAAGAGTCAGAGAACTGAATGACATTTCTGGACAAAAACACTGAACGCCTACTCCCATCTGTTCTATTAATACGAGCAACTGTGTTACCCTGCAGCCTGTTCCATCAGAACACAACTGTCACTGAAGATCCTGTCTGGTTTTATGCCGAAACCGGTTTGGCTCAATGGATAGAGCGTCAGCTTGGGGACTGAAGTGTCCCGGGTTCGAGTCCGGTCAAGGGCATGTACCTTGGTTGCGGGCATATCCCCAGTAGGGGGTGTGCAAGAGGCGGCTGATCAATGACTCTCTCTCATTGATGTTTCTAACTCTCTATCTCTCTCCCTTCCTCTCTGTACAAAATCAATAAAATATTAAAAAAAAAAAAAAAAAGATCCTGTCTGGTTTTAGCAACGGGCGGCTTTCATCCTCAGAGAGCTAAACGCAACTGAAAAACCCATTTACAAACGACATTTTGCCTGTAGGTTAATGCTTCCACACACGTTGTCCTGTGTGTTTTCCTCACTCATAAACGAATATACTCGATGCAAAGGAATGTTTAGCACGTGAAGTCTATGGTGGCCGGACAGACCTCGTAAACGGCCACTTTTACGTGCTCCGGTGATAGCTCAGTGCGGGGAGTAACCGATAAAGGCTTCAGAGCAGCGAGCTGGGTGAGGGTGACACTGCAGCTGACAGAGGGAAATGCTCATCAGCTCCGTGGAGACGGGTGCTGGCCTCAGGCGACTGACCAGGCTGCCGGCCCCGTCTGCACACGTCCTGACACCTCCCTCAGGGACCCAGGAAGAGACGGGTGCGGGAGGCGGCCCTTCAGCCACTTGCTCTACAGCAGGTCCACTCGCTCGCAGGTGAGCCACCTGGGGGACTGGCTCCCCTCCACTGAACACCAGGGGAGCCCGCCTGCTGGACCAGCGCGGTCCCGGCCACAGCGCGTGTACAAGGTTTCGGAAACACTGACGCTGAGGGCCAGAGACGAATGTTAACTGTGTCCTGGAAGCATCATTCCCCAAGAGATGGAGGTGGCCAGGAGCACCTCGCTGAGGGCACACACGAGGTCTGCCTGACGTGCCCTCACAGGCCTGAGGTGGGCTAGTGCCCTGCTCTCCTCCTTGGTGTTGGCACTGAGACCGAGCTCTCTGCTGAGGAGACCCCCAGACGGTTTCATAAATGACCCCCTCGGCCTCTCCATGCGCCTCACCTGCACAGACCCCCTAACGCGTCCCGCTGGTTAGCCACAAGCGGTCCCACAGACACAGACAGAGGGGCCGGGCAGCGGCCGAGTGTAGCTGGGTGCCCTTCAGGCATCGGGGTCAGAAAACATTCGCTTAAAGTGCCGGCCCCTGGGACCCACGTGCGGACCGGCCCCCAGGACTCACACGCAGGTCAGAGGTCAGCCCCGGGCAGAGAGCGGGGCAGCAGGAAACGCCGAGCTGAGCGCAGCCCCGGGGGGGAGGGCCAGGAGGACCACCATGGAGGGGTTTGGAGTGCTGACACGTCCCAGCACAGGGACACGCCCAGAACTGCGCGCAGGTCCACAGCTCAGCACACACAGGCATGACATTTTCACCCTTCTCGTGGGTCAGAGGTCACACAAGAAGCACAGAGAGAACTTGACCCAGAACGGCAGCCCGACTGACAGACTGTGGGCGGCTGTTGTACAGACGTGCAGACTAGAACCTCGGCCCACTGCCACCCCAGCACGAGGCCACCTGCGGAGCCAGCCCAGCACAGTGAGGCCACACCCGTCAGGGCGGCGTGCGGGAGCCTGCTCTGTGCGCAGGAGTCTGTGGAGGGACGCTCTTACCCGTGGGGTCTGCCCTCTCCAAGAGGGTTCTGGGTAACTGGGAACGCTCCCCTCCTTCCCTGTTTCCCCACGGAAGCCGCAGCAGAGCCACGCTGACGGGCAGAGGGCCGCGCTGTCAGCAAGCTGCACGCTTGTCCTGTTTGTCTCTGGCAGCTCCCGCTGGCCTGGCTGTGACCCCCCCCCCCCCATAGGAAGCGCGGCTCCCTGTCACCGGGGACAGGCCGCGGCCTTCCCGATGCGCTCACCATCCCGATGCACTTCCGGAGGATGCTCCAGATGCTGAAGTCGTTTCTGGAAAACATGGGGGACGGCAAGCTCGTTCTAAAAAGAAAAGAAAACAAGACTCAGTTGTAACGCCCCTGACGCTGGGAAGGAAGGTGCCGCACAAGGTCGGGGGGGGGGGGGGGGTAGAGGGGGCCGATGGGAAAAGGGGGGGCATCTGTGATCGGTGATGCTTTCAACAATAGAGATCAACTCTAAAAAGAACAACAAAGTGGGTCACAGATGGGGAAACAGGGTGGGTCTGGGCAGAGCCCTGCTCCCTGCCAGCCCGACCCCGAGGGGTCCCCCGCGGACAGTTCCTGAGCTTCCATTGATGTCTGGGTCCTCCCGTGGGGTCCGCCGCCCGGGCCACCTCGGGGTGCCGTGCCCGCCCCCACAGGCGCTGCGGACCCACGTTTGGTGGAAGATGGAATTGTGCGCCTGGAACCCGTATAACTTTGCTCATCAGTCCCCCAATGAACTCGGTGAAAAGGAAAAAAGAATTAAAACAAAGGCCCTGACAAAACAATCAAAGTCCGTGAGACGAGACTGTCCGTCCCGAGGGTCCAGAAAATGCTCATCTCCTGCCGAGGTATGTAAAGAGGCGGAGGAATGCACATTCTGAAATCCAGCAGCAGATTTACACGTGTTAATTATTTAAACGGAACAGGATCCATTTCCATCTCTGCCGTCTCTCCTGTGGCGGGGGCGGCCCTCGGAGGAGTGAGACAGACGGGAGAGCGAGCGGTGGCCGGCCACCCGCCCGCCCGCGGCAGACTGAGGGAGAATTCTTCTCGCCGGGCTCTCTGAGGGCCATTATCCCGGCTCTATGCGCCCTTTCTGTCCGCGGAGAGCACGCGCCGTACCAGGCGAGTGCTGTCCTGGCTGTTTTCAGCCAGACAGATGGCACGGCCGGCCCACAGCCACACAATCGCTGGGTTTTCCCACGTGACACAGCTCCGTGCGGCCCCACAGGTTCCAGCCTCGGAGCCGGAGACAGAGCCAGCCGAGCCCAGCTCATCCGTGCAGGTGCCCCGCCAGCGCGTGTTCTGGAAAAGACGTGCAGTTCAGGTCTGGGGGTGCTATGGGGCGGCAGACACTATGTGCAACTCGTCCTGGGGGGGCCCAAGCCGCAGCTCACCAATCCGCCTGCGGGACCCCAGCCCCCGGCCCTGCTGCAGCGCCGCCAGGTCAGACACGGGCGAGGCCCTGGGCGGCTTCTGCCACTCGGACCCGGGCCTAGACTTCCAGGCAGAAGACGGGAGTCTCAGGTGATGGCAGGGAAGACACAGTGGCCTTTCTGCCCTGTTATTAAATAGCTCTTCGTGTGCTTCATTTCAATGTCACATGACCTGGAAGAAAGTGCTAGAACGATTCGGTCCAAGTAACATTGAAAAATAAATTGACTCTTGTGAGGACGGGAAAGAGATAGAAACATCCATGATGAGAGAGAATCTTGGATCGGCTGCCTCCTGCACGCCCCACACTGAGGATGGAGCCCGCAACCTGGCATGTGCCCTGACCGGGAGTCAAACCCTGACCTCCTGGTTCATAGGTGGATGCTCACCCACTGAGCTACGCTGGCCAGGCACATTTTTCACTTAATTGAAATGATGAAAGAGAAAATCCCAAATTTAATTTTCTTGTGCTTCAAACATTCCACTGACGTTATTAAATGGTGTTAGAGCTGACCTGCCGGCACTCCTAACCCAAATCCCTTCTGAGTGGCTGACCCTCTCAGAGTCAAAGATGTGGTCTATCAGCAAAGGGACTGTGAAGGCAACACCAACGCTCGGATGTAAACGGGGCGGCTGGGAGCCTCACTACCCTTTCCCTGCCTCTGTCCCCTCTGGACCCGCACACACGCCTGCGGCCACCCCTCCCCAGGTCAGGACTGTATCTGCTCCCGGCTACGTCCCCCGCCTGGCCCAGTGCTCTGCACGGAGCTGGCCCTCAATGCCTCAAAATAAACAGTTCATCTAACGTCCGTTTAGGATGAAATGAGCTGCTGGGCAGTCACGGCCGCTGGTGTTCTTTTCCTTAGGATCGAGGCTGAGTAAACCACCCCACAACGCACTTACTAGATAAAATAACTTCCACAACTCGAACCTCAAAAAGGCCATCTGCCTCGCGAGGATGTACTAGTAAGATGTGTTGTTCTTGTGGAGAGAGCCTGATGGAGCAGCCCCGTCGGAGACAGGCGAGGGGCAGGGCCAGGGTTAGCCCCAGGGTGGCACAAGGAGCCCCACAAGAAAAAGGAAACACGGGGACGCTGGGACACCGGCTGTGACCTGTCCTGCAGTGCCCGCCGCTCCCTCTCCTCCGCACAGACTGGATGTCCCCTGTCCCCATCGAGGGACAGTTCCTCGGAGGAGCTGCATTTCCGGTCCTCCTGCCTGTCACACGCCCCTTCCACGTGTTCCTGACATGTGCGTTTCCCTCCGGTCCCCTCCTGGCTGCTCAGCGGACAAGAGCGTCTTTCCCAGAAGACGGCGGTTCCCATGGTATCAGACCGACCGTGCATCAGCCTGGAGGCAGTCATTCTTCCGACAGCGACGCCATCGCACCTGACGGAGCGCCACGCAGCCGCCTCCACTCCAATGAGAGGGTGTCGCCCTGAGGCGCCTCCAGGGAAGCCGACCCCGTCTCCCCGTCCCTCGGACACCCCGCTGTGCACAAGATGGTGTGTGTGTGGGTGGGGGGGGGGGTCCACAGGGAGAATACGTCCTCCAGGTGGCTTCGCTGACCATCTGTGGCCCCGACCTGGACAAGGGGAAACTCACCAAGCCCGGGGGCGCTCACGTCCACGGGAACCTGCCACGGGGCCCACACTGGGCCCAGCATGTGGGCCTCGGCCATGATGCAGACCACGGGGCTCATCCCCCAAATCTCTGCTTCAAACCCTGCACAGGACGGCAGAGCAAAGGCTGGGACAACACGGAGCTGTGTCCAGGCGGGCTGTTGTTCGGGACGTCTGTAAAGACGGTGGTTTAGGGAGAGAGTGGAAGCTCTGAGTCGGAAAACCGGGCTTGTGTGCGCTGCCCTCCTGGCTGAGCAATCTGGGCCGAGCGACCAAGCTCCCAGGATGGAGGATGGGTTACTCCGACCCACCGCTGGCTCCCTGGTCCGAGAAGCAAAAGCCTCAGAGCTCGTGCTTCTCACGCACCGACACTCCGATCGGGGTGTGAGCCGTGGCCTGTGAGGCACGGTCACCTCTGCGGACAGCACTGTCCGCTCAGCCTCGAGGCCGACCGACACCAGCGCCTGGAGGGCTGTGAGGCGGGGACAGAGCAAGGCTCAGAGCTTCAGCCGAGGGTCACCGTGCAGACACCAATCAGAGACTCACGCTGATGCTCTCGGCCCTCATGGCGGGGGACCCTCACTTACGCCGTCTGCACCTCAAGGCGCTCCCCACCCGATGCCGGGCACGGGGACCCCCACCTATGAGGGTCCATGTTGAGCTGCCTACTCACTCACCCACAGAAACCTCTGAGAACATGGCGGCCCCAGCTGTGCCCCCGACGCCCCAGACACCAGCCCCTTCTCCCCGACGCCCCAGACACCACCCCCTTCTCCCCGACGCCCCAGACACCAGCCCCTTCTCCCCGACGCCCCAGACACCAGCCCCTTCTCCCCGACGCCCCTGACACCAGCCCCTTCTCCCCGACGCCCCAGACACCAGCCCCTTCTCCCCGACGCCCCAGACACCAGCCCCTTCTCCCCGACGCCCCAGACACCACCCCCTTCTCCCCGACGCCCCAGACACCACCCCCTTCTCCCCGACGCCCCTAACACCAGCCCCTTCTCCCCGACGCCCCAGACACCAGCCCCTTCTCCCCGACGCCCCAGACACCACCCCCTTCTCCCCGACGCCCCAGACACCACCCCCTTCTCCCCGACGCCCCAGACACCAGCCCCTTCTCCCCGACGCCCCAGACACCAGCCCCTTCTCCCCGACGCCCCAGACACCACCCCCTTCTCCCCGACGCCCCAGACACCAGCCCCTTCTCCCCGACGCCCCAGACACCACCCCCTTCTCCCCGACGCCCCAGACACCACCCCCTTCTCCCCGACACCCCAGACACCAGCCCCTTCTCCCCGACGCCCCTAACACCAGCCCCTTCTCCCCGACGCCCCAGACACCAGCCCCTTCTCCCCGACGCCCCAGACACCACCCCCTTCTCCCCGACGCCCCTGACACCAGCCCCTTCTCCCCGACGCCCCAGACACCACCCCCTTCTCCCCGACGCCCCAGACACCACCCCCTTCTCCCCGACGCCCCAGACACCACCCCCTTCTCCCCGACGCCCCAGACACCACCCCCTTCTCCCCGACGCCCCTGACACCAGCCCCTTCTCCCCGACGCCCCAGACACCAGCCCCTTATCCCCGACGCCCCAGACACCAGCCCCTTCTCCCCGACGCCCCAAACACCAGCCCCTTCTCCCCGACGCCCCAGACACCACCCCCTTCTCCCCGACGCCCCAGACACCAGCCCCTTCTCCCCGACGCCCCAGACACCAGCCCCTTCTCCCCGACGCCCCAAACACCAGCCCCTTCTCCCCGACGCCCCAGACACCACCCCCTTCTCCCCGACGCCCCAAACACCAGCCCCTTATCCCCGACGCCCCAGACACCAGCCCCTTCTCCCCGACGCCCCTAACACCAGCCCGTTCTCCTGCGAGGCGGCCCTCCGCCTTTCTTCCTGTCTACAGGCCACGTCGCCACTTAGGTCAATGTCTTGGCATCTGCCCTGGCTAGCCATGTATGTGCCCTGCATTGACATGCGTGTGTCCTGCACTTGGCATGTGTGTGTCCTGCGCGTGTCAGACGCAGTGGTGTGCTTCCTGGCTGAGAACCAGGATGTGTAGTCCATGAAGTCACTGCCACTCTTGACAGAAACAGCCTGAAGGATAAACACTCACTGTGGCCTCAGCCGGTGTGGCACAGTGGATAGAGTGTCGGCCTACAGACTGAAGGGTCCTGGGTTCGATTCCAGTCAAGGGCATGTGCCCGGGTTCTGGGCTCGATCCCCAGTGTGGGGCATGCAGGAGGCAGCCAAACAATTATTCTCTCTCATCATTGATGTTTCTATCTCTCTCTCCCTCTCCCTTCCTCTCTGTAAAAAAAAAAATATATATATATATATATATATGCGCATGCACACACACACACATACATATATATACACACATATATACATATATATATATATACACACTAAGAAACATAAATAAATAAGAGCCCATGCTCTCCTGTACCTTTAAAAACAACCACACTCGTGGCACTCGGAGTTTGCCCAAGGTCCAAGTCCTCACAGGCCCGTGTCAGGGTGACTCAGCAGCAGTGACAGGGAGGAAGCGTGTTACGTGATAAATGTGTTGGGAAGAGTTGTACGTGAGCAACATTTTTTCTGAAGATTTTAAAGACACAGGACACACCTGTACAGCAGCGGTCGACAACCAGTGGCCGTGCGGTCCGAAAGGTTGGCGACTGCAGCTTGGAGGACTCTGTGCCTTTAAAGTCACGCCCGTCCATCCCCGACGCATCCTTACAGATGCTGTGGTTCCTGAAAGAGGGCGATGTCCGAGCCAACAAGCAGAGAAGCGGTCGGAGGAGCTCTGTGCCGAGGCTCACTCACAGTGGGGCCCGAGGTTCAGTGGTCCCTGGGTGAAGTTTCGGCCGGCACAGCTCCAATGGGCATGTTGGTCACGGCGAACCCCACGGCCGGGGAAGCTGGCGCCAGCCCAGGAAGACTGTGACGAGGAGGCCGGGGAGAAGGCAGTGCCGAGGGCAGTCACACGGACGCTGTCCCCGTGCTGAGACCTGTGTCCGTCCTCGCGGAGCCAGACGCCGAGCACAGACACACAGTCAGTAGACACGGAGCTCCCCTCTGGCACGCCGAGGAGTGTGAGTGTGGAAAGCAAACGTGAACCACGAACTGGGATCCTCCACGGGACTCAGAGAGCCGAGGCCGCGGGGATGCACGAGGAGGCCTCCCTCCACTCGGGGAGCGGCTCTCGGGGACAGAGGCGAGCAGAGACTGGCTCTCACCGTTCGCCGCTGACAGGCAAGTTTACAGCCACTTCCGAGGCAGCCACACCAGTACTTCTAGCAGAGAATCAGCCACGCTTCCCTTCACCGCCACAGGAACCAACCATAGGCTTCGCTCAATGTGGGGCGAGTCTCCCTAGCTGACATTCACTCAGAGAAACGAGGTCAAAGGCCAGCCTTCCCCTCAGCGTCCTCTCGCCTGCATCTCAGCTTCAGGGGCCACTGAACCTCGGGCCCCACTGTGAGTGAGCAGACAGCAATCCCAGTTGCCCACGTTTGCTTAGGGCTTTGAATGTTTCACAAACGCCTGACTTTTACTAGTTAGCTACATCATGTGAGCACTTGACATAGATCATCTCCTTTAATTATCCAAGAGCAGAGAACAGGTCTGAGGTCCCACCAGGAGGGCGAGCAGCATCAACACAAACCTGACCATGTTTTTCAAATTAAAAAAACAAAAACAGATGACCAGGTCACACACCAACTTAAATCTACTTAAAGATGCACCGTGACACCTCAAATGCATGCCATGGTCACTCAGGCCCACCCCCTGCTTTTCTAAACATCACTAACACTATCCTATCTAATAAAAGAATAATATGCAAATTGACTGTCTCTCCAACACAAGATGACCACTCCCATGTGATCAAAGATGGCTGCCTCCATGTGGACACAAGATGGCCACCACAAGATGGCCGCCAGCAGGGGAGGACCACTGTGGGCGATCAGGCCAGCAGGGGAGAGCAGTTGGGTGGGACCAAGCCTGCAGGGGAGGGCAGTTGGGGGCATTCGGGCCAGCAGGGGAGCGGTCAAGTGTTATCAGGCTGGTGGGGGAGTGATTAGGGGCAATCAGGTAGACAGGCAAACAAGCAAGCAGTTGGGAGCCAGCAGTCCTGAATTGTGGGAGGAATGTCCGACTGCCCATTTAGGCCCAATCCTACTGGGATCGGGTCTAAATGGGCAGTTGGACATCCTTCGAGGGGTCTCAGATTGGAGAGGATGCTGGCTGGGTTGAGGGACACCCCCCATGCACAAATTTCATGCACTGGGCCTCTAGTTACTTTATATACATATATCGTATATTGATTGATTTCAGAGAGAAAGGGAGAGAGAGAGAGAAATATCCATGATGAAAGAGAATCATGGATCAGCTGCCTCCTGCAAGTCCCCCACTGGGGATCGAGCCCATAACCAGGGCATGTGCCCTTGACCAGAATCAAACCTGGGACCTTTCAGTTCGCAGGCGGACGTTCTACCCACTGAGCAAAACTGGCCAGGGCACCAACACTATTATTAATTCAAATGACTGGCTATTAGTAACCGCCCATCATAAACACAAATTACTCATGAAGCAATTCACGGGCAAGAGGGGTCAGGTACCACTGAAAACACTCCTGCTCTAAGATGAAACTCGTAAATTACGTGTGGCATCTGCTGTTTGTCTGGTCAGAGAAGAACTTTATGGAAAAAAACAAGTAAAATAAATCTCATGCCCGGCTGGTGTGGTTCAGTGAGTTGGCCCGGAACTAAGAGGTCCCCTGTGAAGTGGAGGCTCGATCCCAGCAGAGGGCGTGCGGGAGGCAATGATTCTCTCAGTGTTGCCGTCTCTCGCCCTCTCCCTTCCTCTCTGAAATCAACAAAAAAACACAGCCACTGTCAAGTGCTTATGGGCGGGGCCTCTCCCTGGACATGAGGAAACTGCTGGTATCTGGTTTGTTACCTAAAACCCTCTGATCTTGTCAAAACAAGTACAAAGTGAGACATTTGTTAACAAGGAGCAGGTCCACGCGCATCAGCAGTGATCGTGGGCTTGTCTCCAGCAGAACCAGAGCGGAGGCCGACGTGGCTGGAGCCACGGTGTGGGAAACGGGACAGAGGGACACGTTCTGCAGATGTCAGACAGAAGCCGCCTTCATAAACGACCCCAGGAGTGTGTGTACGAGGACAGTCTGCATCCCCCGGAACCTGCTGAGGGCTTCCCTACGCCCGCGCCCAGCGCCTCTGGGGCACACGGGCTGAAACCGGAGAGTGCGGTGTCCGTTCCGTCTGGCTGACTGGGGGCAGTCTCCGGGATGAAATTCCCCCCGGGGGTAAAAGGCACGAGTGCCCTGAGGTAGCCAAAACGGCCGTGCTGGACCCACCCTGCCGGCCCTCCATGAAAGCCTTCGTGAAGATGTCGCTAAATGGATCAACGGCAGACGACAGGCATCCATCTGAGGAAGACCAGCCGGATCGAATGACTGGAAACCAAGCAGCACCGGGCGGCAGTCATAAAAGATGCAGGACGCCCGGAGCCGCCAGCCTCGGCGGTCCCCACCGCTGTGCGGCCAGCGAAAGATTCACGTTCCCCAGAGCCGGTGCGAAGCCCCGCTCCGGGCTCTGGCCCCACGGGGTCTCCTGTGGGTGGACACACACTGACCGGCCCTGCCTCTCTGAGGCAGCCACAGCGCGGCCAGCACGGAGCGGGGGAGGCGTGCGTGTGGGCGCAGACGGGCCCTACCTGTGCTTCTTGATGCCGTTGGAGAGCGCGTCGCCCCCGCCGCAGTCCTTGTCCTCCGACATCCTGTGCGCTCCCGGGGCCGGAGGCCGGCCTTCCTCTTCGCGGGAGTGCGAGGCCACCGCCTCCAGCCGGCTCAGGGACCGCTCGGACTCGGAATCTGTGGCAGAGAGGCTCATGTCAGGGGCTGGATCTGGCTTCGGTGACAGCGCCCGTGCGCCTCCCCCGGGATCCGCCGTGAAACCCAAGCAGCCCTTGTCCTTCGCCACCACCCGGAACCACCTCCCGGGATCCCAGAGCCCGCGCCCAGCACTGCGGAGGGGGCCATGGAGCAGACACGGGCTTACACCGACGCGCAGTGACACAGGTTTTGAACACACGCGGGGGAGAGTTCCACAGAGTGCCGAACCCAGCAGCTCCCCTTCGAGCTTCCGCTTTACCTTCCCCTCAAAGCATCCCAGGCATCGCTTACAGAAAAGCATCGTTTTTAAAATTCATGGTAAAGAAAAAGCTCGCGTAGCTGAGCTGTGTGTGAGAAGCATGAACGACATTGGTCCTACAGACACAGCAGCAGAATGGCTCAAAAACCTTTAAAAAATACTTCTGCTATGGTATTACTTCTTCAAAAACACATTTTTATTGATTTCAGAGAAGAAGGAAGAGGGAGAGAGAGAAACATTCATGATGAGAATTAATCATCCATCAGCTGCCTCCTGCACGCCCCCTCCTGGGGATGGAGCCCACAACCCGGGCATGTGCCCTGACAGGGAATCAAACTGTGACCTTCTGGTTCCTGGGTCGATGTTCAACCACTGAGCCGCACAGCCAGGCTATTTCTTTTTTTTTTTTTTTAAGAATAGTTTATTGACTTTTAGGGAGAGAGAGAAACATCCATCAGCTGCTTCCTGCACCCTGCCCACCAGGATGGAGCCAAACCCAGGCACATGCCCTGACCAGCTCAACCAGTGGAGCCACTCTGCCAGGGGCCCAGTCTGTGGTGTTTTACTTAAACCTCCAGAGCTGACGCCAGGAGTGTCCAGATGAACCCCAATTCCCAGGAAGGCATTTTTAGGATGAAAATGATGGATGGAAAGTGATGGATGGGCACCTGGTAATGAGCCATGTGTGGAGCCATCGCCTGCTTGGGAATCAGGACACATTACCCCGGAGAGGACAGCGTGGCCCTCAGGCACGTGACAGGACGGCGAGAAGACCAACGGCGCCTGGTTTCTGAGCTAGGTGCCTGGCGCCTTGTTTAACGCTCTGTATTTCAGCTCAAAGTCACGGTCCGCAGCCTCCAGGAGGTCTCTCAAGGTCACATCGACCTTCCCGGTCTCTCAAGGTCACATCGACCTTCCCTTGAGGTCACCCACACTCAGTTGTCCCGGCTCCCACATGCCCAGCTCCCAGACACATCAGGCAAACTTCCTTCTACGCATTTCCGTTCGTGTCCTCAACACGTCGCAGCCAAGATGTCCAGGAAACCATTATTTTTAGTGCTTCCCTCTCCCCGCACGCACCCAGCCGGCCGCGGGGCCTTGTTCTCCTGCATCAGCCTGATTAGTCACCGCTGACGAGCACCACACGCCCTGAGCCTGGACTCCGGACTCGGACGGTGGGCGTTCCTCACGGGAAGACAGTGCTTCCCGGGTGCTGTCTGTCACCGTAACGGCCAGATGGAGAGGGGGCTTTATCTGTCCTGTCTCATACCAAACCGGTGTCGTGGTCCATGCTGTCAGTCCCCACGGTTTACTGGGATAAGACAAGCCATAAAGCCCACACAGGCACAGTCTGCATGCATGAAGCAGCAGGTACGCAGGTAACATCGCCCAAAACGGGTCAGAAACACAGAGGAAATGCCTTTAACGTGACGCTAAGACCAAAACCACCGGCACCACTCACACTCTGAGTGTAAGCCAGCGCTCCTCTCACGCTCCTTGGAGAATGCCCGTCTGGGTCCCATGGACGACCCCAGGAGAGCGGGGACAGGCTGGGCCGGAGCCCGGGAGGCCAGGGGCGGGTGCTGGGTGAGAGCTCAGGAAGGCGGGAAGCTCCCCGAGGCAATCAGCTCCAGAGGTGAGAGGGAAGGAGCTGCAGGAGCCTCACTGAGGAGACGATGGGGGGAGCGGAGAGGGGGGGATGGGGAAGGTGACTGTCACCTCCACGTTGTCACATTTGATTCACGTGGAAAACTTAAGAGTCCCACAGAACGGTCCGTCGGAGCCCATCAGCACTGAGGGCGTCACTGCTGAGACGGGGACATCGTTGACGAGGCAGGCCTCCCGAAGGTGTGCAGCGTTGGCAGGTGGACTGTTCTGAGCTGAAGGCGATGGAGAGACCCCTTGGGCTCAGGGGAAACTCTGCCCCCCTTTAGCTACGCAGCACAACCCAGCTGGGGCCTTGCCCAGAGTAAGAGCTAGTAAGAGAGGGCGCTGTGGGGCCGATCTAGGGTGGGCAAACACCTGGTGATGGCACCTGGTGATGGATAGGCACCTGGTGATGGATGGACACCTGGTGATGGACAGACACCTGGTGATGAATGGGCATCTGCTCCTCCTCTGCCTCCTCCCTGAGCCCCAGTGCCTCACCTCGGCCCTGGCTCAGGGTCCCACAGGACAGGGACTGCATTTCAACAGAAACTTAACTAAAAGCAGGCACAGAGTGGACGCCACAGGAGGCAGGGCAACCAGAGCAGCCACGGAGCAGACAGACGTTTCTCAACAAGCTTTCACCTCAGTGACCGCACACCAAGGAGGCACTGCCTCTCCAGCGTGGGCCACACGCTTACCCACGGGGACACGCCGCCTCCCCAGCGTGGGCCACACGCTTACCCACGGGGACACGCCGCCTCCCCAGCGTGGGCCACACGCTTACCCACGGGGACACGCCGCCTCCCCAGCGTGGGCCACACGCTTACCCACGGGGACACGCCGCCTCCCCAGCGTGGGCCACACGCTTACCCACGGGGACACGCAGCCTCTCCAGCGTGGGCCACACGCTCACCCACGGGGACACGCCGCCTACTCCCACTTACCCACGGGGACACGCCGCCTCCCCAGCGTGGGCCACACGCTTACCCACGGGGACACACCGCCTACTCCCACTTACCCACGGGGACACGCCACCCACTCCCACTTACCCACGGGGACACGCAGCCTCTCCAGTGTGGGCCACACGCTTACCCACGGGGACACGCCGCCTCCCCAGCGTGGGCCACACACTTGCCCACAGTCTGATGGGGGAAGCTCTGCAGGCTTGCTCTCCTGGGGTCGGTGCACACTCCCCTCAGGTGCTCTCTCGCTCCTTCTCTCCTCCCTGGCCGCCACCTCTCCCTACCCAGGGCTCCTTCCTCTTTAATAGTCAGGCCGACCCGCCTACCCCCAAAGGTCTCTGCCAACCAGCACCATCACCTCCACACTGCAAAGTCCAACGTCCCTCCCGAGCCGGCCGTGACTCACCCCCCAGCCCTGGCCCTCCGCGCCTGCAGCACGGCAGGCTGGGTCACAGGGCAGCAGAGGGGGCGGCTGTGCACACCTGAGGGACACAATGCTTCCAGATGCGAAAAGAAGTGTGTGTGTGGGGGGGGGGGGGGGGGCGGACCTCACAGTGAAGGACAGGTGCCGGGAGGGGCTGTGATGACGCCTGAGTGACACGAAGTAGGAGGGAGCATGGGAGCGGCGAGGTGGCTGGATGGAGGGAAGCTTTGAGCCGGCCATGGTGCTGGCCACGCAGGATGAGTGGACACCAGGGCCGCTGTGGCCGAAGGAGAAAGGAGCTGGCCTGCGGGCATCCCAGCCCTTGCCCCGAGGCGGTGACCATGCATGGGCATTTACAGCCTCAGGCAAAGGCACCGTGACCAGTGGCACGGCCTGCAGTGCCGGGAGGTGAAGCCTGGCTCGTCCGAGAGCAGACGCTCCCTGCTTCTGACGCTGTGAGCGGACTGGGTCCAATCCGCGCCCCGTGGACAGGTGAGGGAGCCACCCTCACTCCCAGGCCGTCCCTGCTAGCCATATGCCATCCCTGTACGGAGACCCACTTTCCCCGGAGACCAAGCTCTCTACAGGTGCCGTCACGCTCCCCTGGGGACCCGGGCCGCGGCGTGGCAGCTGCCGAGGGCCAGGCCTGCCCACGGCGTCCTTATTTCCAAGTCGCCTGGTGCCGAGTCAGCAACAGGGCTCAGTGCTGACTTTCAACCCAAAGCTCCAGGCTTTCCACTTCCCTTCAACTGTGAGCACCACACGGGCCGATGCACCCCATCCCGCACTCCTGAGCGAGGCCAGTGCCCCGCAGGAGCCACATTCTGGGGAGTGTCCGCTGCCTCCCCTGGGGCACAGGGTGCTCCAACAGGAGCACGAGGCCCCTAAACTCAGCTTCAAGAGCAAACTAGAGCCCTGGCTGGTGGCCAGTGGTTACAGCATCAGTCCTGGGACTGAAGGGTCAAAGGGTTGACTCCCGGTCAAGGGCATGGACCGTGGCCCGGGCTCAATCCCTGGCCTGGGTCGAGGCGTGTGCAGGAGGCAACCCATCGATGTTCTCTCTCCTTCCCCTCCTCCCTCCCTCCCTCCCATTCTCAATAAAATTAATAGAACAGTATCCTCAGGTGAGGATTTTAAACGCACAGACAAGGGGGAGGGAGGGAGTGACCACGTGGTGGACGCAGTTCCGTGGAGGGCAAGCCGCTCTGCAGGTGACGGCAGTGGCGACAGCTGCACCACCGTGTGCCTGCACTTCACGCGCCGTGATGGGCACGGGAAGAGGGTCCAGATGGTGAATGTGCACATCTGAGTCCAAAAAACCACACACACACACACTCTTTCTCTCTCTCTCTCTCTCTCACACACACACACACACACACTCCTGTGGGGGCATGGCTGCTGTTTGTCCAGTCCTGTCACCTCTGACCCCAGCACCAGGGATGAGACCCCACACATGCAGCTGCTGATCTGTATACAGTGGCATGTTCTAAACATGTTCTTACTGATTTCAGAGAGGGAGAGAGAGAAATGCTGATGATGGGAGAGAATCACTGATAGCTGCCTCCTGCACGCCCCTAGTGGGGATGGAGCCCACAAACCGGTACATGCCCTGACTGAGAATTGAACCCTGACCTCCTGGCTCATGGGTCATACTCAAACACTGAGCCACACCAGCCAGACATAAAATCATTTTAGAAAAGAATGATGGCCCAGTCAACCCCAAACCTAAAGGGTAATTACACCCTCTAAGTGCCTGGCACATACGTCCGCAGGAGTAATCACACCGCTCCCCCTCAGGCTCCCCCTCAGGCTCCCGCTCAGGGTCCTCGCACTGACTGCGCTCCCGTGTGTTTCTGGGAACGTGAAGCACCTCTGCTCCACGACACCAGGCCTCCCTTATGACGCATTTCCTGTGACCACGTTACTTCTCCCTTTTCCTCTCGGGCAGCAGTTCCCCCGTGGGCACACGCCCCCCAGGGGGCAGTTTGGCTTTTAAGGGGGCGATTCAATCATGAGATTAACAGTGAACTTTTTGCATTCCTTATGGGTCTAGGGGCCTCGTATACAGCATATAAATATAGACTGTGGCATATTTGTGCATTTCAGTTCTCTATTAGACATTCTGAAATTTTGCTATTTTTCCATATCACTTCATATTATTATCATCATTATTTTTTAAACAATTTCTTAGTGATGTCTTCCTCAGGACTTCCACCATCCTTTCGTTCTTTTGTTTTCCTCTCTCATGGACGCCGTGTTCTTGGGAAGCTTGTTCAGACCAAGGTCATGGCCTTTTAGGCTTCCTCCGCATGGATAGCAGCTCGCTTTTTTAAGAATTCTAGGTCACGGGGGCGGGGGGGGGGACGTGGCTGAACAGGCTGGGACCAGGTTATTGCGCGTTCAGAGACATAATAACTGGGCCCCTCAGTGTATGTATTTATGCGCTGTATATGAGGCCCCTAGAACCGTAAGAAATGCAAACAGTTCACCGTCAATAACTCACTCCAACCCTCCCCGTAACCCAGAGCCAGAGCCCCCCGAGGACCGAGGTGCCCTCTCCTCACATGTCCGCCCGGCTCCAGGAGTCCCTGGTGGTCACTGACTCCGGGACCCAGGACTCACGCGGGCCCCAGGGCCTCCATCCCAGCCCGGCTACGCCGCTGCACAGGCAGCCAACGGTGACACCCCTCTCTCCCAGCGCAGCTCCGGCCGACGACGCAGGTGACACACAGGCAGTGACCCGTCCGCCTGTCCCACCGGAGACTGGGGCGGCGGCCTCCCTCGCGGGCTCCCACCCACCTGACAGCGCATCGTAGAACTCCTCCTCGCTGAGGGCGCTGGGCGGGGAGCCGGCTACCAGCGACTGCTCTAGCTCATGGTGCTCCGTGGCCAGCGCCTCCAGGGCCTCGGACAGGATCTTGGTTTTCTCCTGCTCCTGCGCCAACCTGCAGTTCCTCACCTGGAAGGAAAGGACACAGCTCACTGGGAGCTCGGCTGCTTCTGCTCCAGCTAAGGGCATGTCGGAGACAGAGAGGCGTGCCTGGGCACACGGTGCATGAGAACACTGCTGGGCGAATCCCGTTCCTCCCGCCTTCTCCCGGCAGCTCCGGCAAAGGAAGGCGGATCAGAGCCGCCAGGCCACCAGCTCCAAGGACCAGGGTCCTCGTGCTGAAGCCTCAGCGGACAGGAAGCACGCAGCTCCTGAGAAATCCCTCTCCGCATCACCGTGATGTTAGGAAGCCGTGTGTGTGTGTGTGTGTGTGTGTGTGTGTGTGTGTGTGGTGGGCGGGGCGGGGGGGGGGGGCGGGTAAAACCATCAGTAAGTATTTGAACAAAATAAAGAACGGAAACATCCCAAGCGAAGACGAAGCCACTCCGAACCCTCAGTGCACGCCACCATCGCCGCATGCCCGCGAAGGAAGGAAGGGGCAGGCAAGGAGCATTTAATGTTCACTTTACAATCCCAGGTTCTGGCTCTGATTTCCTCTCACCCTGAACGTAGGACCCTAAGAAACGGTCCTAAGAAACGATCAAGTACAAGAAGGCAGCTCCGCCTCCCGTCCCACCCCTGCAGGCAGCTCCGCCTCCCGTCCCACCCCTGCAGGCAGTGCCCCCTCCGCCCGCTCCCCCGGTTCCAGGGCAGGACCCTCCCTTGAACTGGACCTCCTGAGGGAGCAGCCGGCCCAGCAGCCGTGGCTGGGCTGGGCCCACAGCGCCCATTTCCATGCTTCCGTCTCAGATCGCTGCAAACCCAGCTAAGCTGCAATCCCGCCAACCTCCAGCCGCCCGAGCCACCTGGCACTCGGGCGGGACCACAAGTGGGGTCTCTCATCCCCCTCCGGGGCCGCGAGAAGCTCCTGTGGCCGAGCCCCTCCCCCAGGAGCTGAGAGGACTCCCCTGGTGTCTGATAGTCTAACCAGCCTTCTCCCACTCAGAACCTTTCTTTTTGCCAAGTTTTCTTTTAAACGTGTTTTTGTTGATTTCAGAGAAGGGAGAGAGAGAAACGTCAATGATGAGAGAGAGCCATGGGTCGGCTGCCTCCTACAAGCCCCCCACTGGGGATCCAGTCCACAATCCAGGCATGTGCCCTGACCAGGAATCGAACCCAGGACCTGCTGGTTCAGAGGCCGGCACTGACCAATGAACCACGCTAGCCAGGCAAGGTTAAACCTTTATTATCCGGGGAATCCTCCAGTCCTCAGGCATCTTTATGTGTATTGCTTTATTATTATTATAAATTAGATTATTATCAGGAAAAACACCAATAAATTAAAAAGAGAAGACAGGCAACACTTGGGGAAAAAGAATCCTTATGAAATCACAATTTTTAAGAAACCGCAAAAGCCAGGCTTGACTAGTGTGGTCCAGTGGGGGACATCGTCCCCAGCGCAGAAAGGGTTGCTGGTTCAATTCCCATTCAGGGCACGGCCCAGGTTGCAGCCACGGCCCCCAGTGGGGGGCGTGTGGGAGGCAGCCCGTTCATATTCTGCTCTCATATCGATGCTTCTCTCTCTCCCTCTCCCTCCTTCTCTAAAAATCGATTTTTTTTAAATCTTAAAAAATTAAATTGCAAAAGACTTGCAGATAGATATCCTTATCATCTAACTTTTATCTCGAGGCATAAACGCCTTTCCTACGGCCGGAGTCCACGTAACAAACTGTTCCTCCTCCATGTCCTGGTTACGTAATGCAAACACCTATTTTAGAAAACTGCCAAATTGAGCACAATGTCCAACCGGCCCTTTCTGTGCAGGAAGCTGCCAGCTGTTCTATTTGCGGCCAGCACCGCCCCCGAGGGAGGGGCCAGCGCCCGCTGCTCGCTCTCGCTCGCTCGCTCCTCAGGCTTCACCACTTCAGCTCCTCAAACATCAGAATGCAAACGTGCTGCTGACACGTGCCTCTCAGTGCGAGAACCAAGCAGCTACCCTTCCGTCGGCGCACACAGCCTCTCTGTGCCCCACGGCCTCCCGCCGACGAGCGAAGCGGCCAAGTAACTGACCGAGGCCCCAAATGATCACATCGCCTCAACAAAACCTTTTCCAAAACCCCATGCAGCCCTCGTCCACCCAAAACCCGCGCCCTCCCCCTCTGCCTCCTCGTCGCCTGTCCTCGGGGGAGAAGAGGCGGGGTCCTCGCACTGGCTCTTCTTGCCTGGTTTCTAACGCACAGTCCAGAAGTGAGGCTGGGGGGGGGGGGGGGCACAGCCCGAGGGTGAGCAGACGGTGATACTCTCCTGGCTGACATGCTGAAAGGAAACCTGTGGGGAGGTCAGGAATTGAATGAAAAAGATCCCGCCCAGACAGCCTGGCTCAGCGGTTGAGCATCGACCTGTGAACCAGGAGGTCATGGTTCAATTCCTGGTCAGGGCACAGGCCCGGGTTGTGGGCTGGATCCCCAGTGGGGGGCGAGCAGGAGGCAGCAGATCCATGGTTGTCTCTCATCACTGATGTTTCTATCTCTCCCTCTCGTCCTCTCTGAAGTCAATAAAAAATAATAATTGGGGGGGAAAGATCCCGTACGAGGACCCTGCAGCCCCCGGAGAGCCGGCCAAGCAGCAGGTGGAGGCCCAGCCCGGTGTGCTGCAGGCCCCGTCCCGGTGGCTGGCTGGGAGCGAGCGGGCCGAGGGTGACGGGCTTTGGCCGGGGCAGCACACAGAGCCGTCACTCACGAGCTAACTCGGTGACGACGTGGGAGGGCCGGCAGCCAGGACACGCTCATAAACGAGTGTGAGATGCCATCGGCTTCCAGAGACGCCAGGCGGCCCTGACCCAGGCGCCAGGTTCCTTCTGACAGAGAAAGGAGAACGCGCCAGCGCCGAGGCGGAGAGGGCAGAGAGCGGGCGAGTGTGGCCTGGGAAGGGATGGGAGGAGGGACGGGAGGAGAGAGGGATGGGCAGGTCAGACGCCAGGGAAGGACGCACGACGTGGGACCAGAACTGAGGGACTCGGTTCGGTGAGGGGTGCGCGGGGCCGTGGCGGCAGCAGCTCCGGGCGTGCAGAGCAGACGTCCAAGGCAAAGAGCCGGCTGCCGCGGGTCGGAAAGTAAGAGCAGGAAGCTGGAGGGCGGGAGGCCAACCTAGGAGCCTGGCTGGCAGGGAAGGAGGAAACCGAGGCAGCGGCTGGAGGGGCGGAGGGGGGTAGAGGCTTTATTGCGGCAACCACGCATGTTTCCGCTGTGGGGAGACGCCACGGGCAGGGGTGACCGATGAGGAGGAGGGAGCTCCTGCAATGGGGGCTGGAGGTCTCTCCCCTCCCCCCCCCACCCCGCCCCAGTGTGCAGCCGGCCTTTGCTGGTCCTTAGCTGAGGGGAGAGGGAGCATGTGTGTGCACAGAATCAGCAGGAAGGTGGGCGGGGAGAGCCCTCTGACTAGAGGAAGGCTGTTTTAAGTCAGTCTGACAAAACAAGCTTCAAGTATTCTGGGTTTATATCAGTTCTTCCAAGCGGCACTATCACCCTCTGAGCCCCGCCCCCTTAATTTTCCAGCTCTCTCCCCCGTGCCCGTGTCCTGGGCTCCGTCCTGGATCCAGGCATATCCGGTTACCCCGGATTCTTACCTGCCTTCATTGCTCCGCCCGCCGCGGCGCGAAAGGAAACAGACAACGAGGTCATCGACCAGAGCCCGGTCTCCTCCGGTTACACGGACCGAGCGCTGCCCGAGGTTAGAACGAGGTCACTCCGAGGCCCGCAGCCTCGCGCACGCCTGGCCGCCCGGCACGGGCGCTGCTCCTGGCCCGCTCCCTGGCACTGCCCACTCCTCGACCCGGCCCGCCAGGGGAAGGGCAACCCGCTGGGAGCTCCCAGGTCCCCTCTGCCGAGGCCCTGCCCCGGAGACCAGGCCCTGGCGGTGCCGACTCGCCGACTGGCTCTGAGGAACAGGCCCCAGGGAGCTTGTTAAGCTGCTGGTGACCCAGGGGTGACTCCAAGGTTATCTTCAGACAACAGACCCGGTAAGAATCCAGGGGTGACCAGGTACGCCTGAATCCAGGACGGAACCAGGCACACAGGACCAGAGAGACAGCTGGGAAATAAAAGGCGGCTGGAAGGTGGGGGCGGTGGTACTGGGAAGAATCAATGTAAGCCCAGACTAGCGGATGCTTATTTATCAGACGGACCTAAAACAACCTCACGACGATAAAATCAACGGGAGACTAGCACTAGAGAAAACAATATAACAAATAAGTTTAGGTTTTATGTTTCTTAAAGAAAAAGCAGAAAAGAGAAATGTCTTTTGAAAGGAAAGCACTGCTCATATCCACGTAAGCTACTGACCGCCAGCTCCAAGCACACCCACCCCTTGCCCGTGTCCAGGGAACGGCCTGCCAGTTATGGATCATGAACCAGAGATCATGAAAACTGCCGATTAGAACAGGCACATGAGGAACACCAATAGTAAGTCACATGTCCAAATCGACACGCCTGTTATACTCCAGAAACGGCTCTTTATGGGCGTATATTCCTAGAAGCACTATGCACCTCCACGTGTCATTTCTAATGCATAAGAGCCTAGATTGTAACGTAACGTACTGAAAGTGTCAAAAGGTAAATTACAGACCAGGATGTTCAAGTGCCATGTGAGGTAATAAATCACCGTTGGCTACATCAAAGTGGTAAAATTCTAAACCTACCAATTTAACGAAGATTCTGAAATTCTTGCATGTCGTTTTTATCCTGTCTCTTTAACTCCCCGCCAAATGGTCATCCATGATTGTCCTTCCCACTGCGAGGACAGTGCCGGGACCTGCCCCGAGGGAAGTACGGAATAACCTTTTCAGATGAATAAACATTAAGGTGCGGAGGAGCAGGGCAGGGAGAGGGCCCAGAAGCAATGCTAAGTAACTTTTAAAAATAAGACCCTGCAACCAGCTCTAACAAGCACTTCAAGGTTTACCAAGAAGGGTAACAATTTCATAGTGCAGGACCCTGAGCAAAAATGCCTCCAACTTCCATGAGAGTGTATTT